AGCTAGATGGAGGCAAGAGTGTGCAAGGCGGTATTGAATGTGTCACGGTCTGTCCATGTGTCACTGTCTGTCATCTCAAATGTTTCTCTCGACCTGTGTGCACATACGTTGTAAACTTTCATTCATAGGCTAGGTTGTACCAACCTCATGATGGGTATAGGGAAATTTTGAGTATCATGTAGTAGTCTAAACCTATCGATGTTACATTGAACTGGGTGAATGGAATATGAATGACAGTCATCAACATGCTGTAATAGAAATAAGGCCATCCTCATGAGAAAAATAAATCACCCTCCCTCATCATAAACGGCACTGACAGCCACTGGCTAACGGCTGTATCCAGGAACTCTGTGTTGCGTCATGCTTAAAAACAGCCCTTAGCCGTGGTATATTGGCCATATACCATACCCCCTTGTGCCTTACTGCTTAATCATAGCAGTCAAACGAGTTTATAATCATCATCCATTGATAGAAAATGATCTGGCAAGGTTAATAAGGGTGAATTATCCTTTCTCTTGTGACATATTCAAATTCCTTGATTACGTCATGTCATAGCTCGCAATAATTATTATTTTGAGGAAAACTACATTTTGCTTCCAACTTCGTTACAAGTTAATATGATATTCCTTCTTAATTGGCTCGATAACGTTATGGAAAAAGGGTTTATTGTATAAATATGGCAAATCCTATTCTACCTGGTTTGAGACGTTTAAGTTCAGACTGGAGTATTTTTCATTTAAAAAAAATTATATTATATATATATATATATATATAGTGCATTCGGAAAGTATTCAGAATCCTTTATTTTTTTCCACATTTTGTTACGTTACAGCCTTATTATAAAATTGATTAAATTGTTTTTCTCCTTCATCAATCTACACACAATACCAAAGCAAAAACAGATTTTTAGACATCTTTGCAAATGTGTTTATATATATATATATATATATATATATATATATATATACACACACACACACACAGTGGGGAGAACAAGTATTTGATACACTGCCGATTTTGCAGGTTTTCCTACTTACAAAGCATATAGAGGTCTGTACTTTTTATCATAGGTACACTTCAACTGTGAGAGACGGAATCTAAAACAAAAATCCAGAAAATCACATTGTATGATTTTTAAGTAATTAATTTGCATTTTATTGCATGACATAAGTATTTGATCACCTACCAACCAGTAAGAATTCCGGCTCTCACAGACCTGTTAGTTTTTCTTTAAGAAGCCCTCTTGTTCTCCACTCATTACCTGTATTAACTGCACCTGTTTGAACTTGTTACCTGTATAAAAAGACACCTGTCCACACACTCAATCAAACAGACTCCAACCTCCACAATGGCCAAGACCAGAGAGCTGTGTAAGGACATCAGGGATAAAATTGTAGACCTGCACAAGGCTGGGATGGGCTACAGGACAATAGGCAAGCAGCTTGGTGAGAAGGCAACAACTGTTGGCGTAATTATTAGAAAATGGAAGAAGTTCAAGATGACGGTCAATCTCCCTCGGTCTGGGGCTCCATGCAAGATCTCACCTCGTGGGGCATCAATGATCATGAGGAAGGTGAGGGATCAGCCCAGAACTACACGGCAGGACCTGGTCAATGACCTGAAGAGAGCTGGTACCACAGTCTCAAAGAAAACCATTAGTAACACACTACACCGTCATGGATTAAAATCCTGCAGCGCACGCAAGGTCCCCCTGCTCAAGCCAGCGCATGTCCAGGCCCGTCTGAAGTTTGCCAATGACCATCTGGATGATCCAGAGGAGTAATGGGAGAAGGTCATGTGGTCTGATGAGACAAAAATAGAGCTTTTTGGTCTAAACTCCACTCGCCGTGTTTGGAGGAAGAAGAAGGATGAGTACAACCCCAAGAACACCATCCCAACCGTGAAGCATGGAGGTGGAAACATCATTCTTTGGGGATGCTTTTCTGCAAAGGGGACAGGACGACTGCACCGTATTGAGGGGAGGATGGATGGGGCCATGTATCGCGAGATCTTGGCCAACAACCTCCTTCCCTCAGTAAGAGCATTGAAGATGGGTCGTGGCTGGGTCAGCCCCGAAACCTGAAGGATCTGGAGAAAGTCTGTATGGAGGAGTGGGCCAAAATCCCTGCTGCAGTGTGTGCAAACCTGGTCAAGACATACAGGAAACGTATGATCTCTGTAATTGCAAACCAAGGTTTCTGTACCAAATATTAAGTACTGCTTTTCTGATGTATCAAATACTTATGTCATGCAATAAAATGCAAATACAATGTGATTTTCTGGATTTTTGTTTTAGATTCCATTTCTCACAGTTGAAGTGTACCTATGATAAAAATGACAGACCTCTACATGCTTTGTAAGTAAGAAAACCTGCATAATCGGCAGTGTATCAAATACTTGTTCTCCCCACTGTATACAGTGAGGGAAAAAAGTATTTGATCCCCTGCTGATTTTGTACGTTTGCCCACTGACAAAGACATGACCAGTCTATAATTTTAATGGTAGGTTTATTTGAACAGTGAGAGACAGAATAGCAACAAAAAAATCCAGAAAAACGCATGTCAAAAATGTTATAAATTGATTTGCATTTTAATGAGGGAAATAACTATTTGACCCCTCTGCAAAACATGACTTAGTACTTGGTGGCAAAACCCTTGTTGGCAATCACAGAGGTCAGACGTTTCTTGTAGTTGGCCACCAGGTTTGCACACATCTCAGGAGGGATTTTGTCCCACTCCTCTTTGCAGATCTTCTCCAAGTCATTAAGGTTTCGAGCCTGACGTTTGGCAACTCGAACCTTCAGCTCCCTCCACAGATTTTCTACGGGATTAAGGTCTGGAGACTGGCTAGGCCACTCCAGGACCTTAATGTGCTTCTTCTTGAGCCACTCCTTTGTTGCCTTGGCCGTGTGTTTTGGGTCCTTGTCATGCTGGAATACCCATCCACGACCCATTTTCAATGCCCTGGCTGAGGGAATGAGGTTCTCACCCAAGATTTGACGATACATGGCCCCGTCCATCGTCCCTTTGATGCGGTGAAGTTGTCCTGTCCCCTTAGCAGAAAAATACCCCCAAAGCATAATGTTCCCACCTCCATGTTTGACGGTGGGGATGGTGTTCTTGGGGTCATAGGCAGCATTCCTCCTCCAAACACGGCGAGTTGAGTTGATGCCAAAAAGCTCGATTTTGGTCTCATCTGACCACAACACTTTCACCCAGTTCTCCTCTGAATCTTTCAAATGTTCATTGGCAAACTTCAGACGGGCATGTATATGTGCTTTCTTGAGCAGGGGGACCTTGCGGGCGCTGCAGGATTTCAGTCCTTCACGGCGTAGTGTGTTACCAATTGTTTTCTTGGTGACTATGGTCCCAGCTGCCTTGAGATCATTGACAAGATCCTCCCGTGTAGTTCTGGGCTGATTCCTCACCGTTCTCATGATCATTGCAACTCCACGAGGTGAGATCTTGCATGGAGCCCCAGGCCGAGGGAGATTGACAGGTCTTTTGTGTTTCTTCCATTTGCGAATAATCGCACCAACTATTGTCACCTTCTCACCAAGCTGCTTGGCGATGGTCTTGTAGCCCATTCCAGCCTTGTGTAGGTCTACAATCTTGTCCCTGACATCCTTGGAGAGCTCTTTGGTCTTGGCCATGGTGGAGAGTTTGGAATCCGATTGATTGATTGCTTCTGTGGACAGGTGTCTTTTATACAGGTAACAAGCTGAGATTAGGAGCACTCCCTTTAAGAGTGTGCTCCTAATCTCAGCTCGTTACCTGTATAAAAGACACCTGGGAGGCAGAAATCTTTCTGATTGAGAGGGGGTCCAATACTTATTTCCCTCATTAAAATGCAAATCAATTTATAACATTTGACATGCGTTTTTCTGGATTTTGTTCAAATAAACCTACCATTAAAAATATAGACTGATCATGTCTTTGTCAGTGGGCAAACGTACAAAATCAGCAGGGGATCAAATAATTTTTTCCCTCACTGTATATAAAACGGAAATCACACTGCAGCCCAAATAAATGCTTCAGAGTTCAAGTCACAGACACATCAACGTCAACTGTTCAGAGGACACTGCGTGAATCAGGCCTTCATGGTGGAATTGCTGCAAAGAAACCACTACTAAAGGACTCCAATAATGAGAAGAGACTTGCTTGGGCCAAGAAACACGAGCAATGGACATTAGACCGGTGGAAATGTGAGATTTTTTTGTTCTAACCGCTGTGTCTTTGTGAGACGCAGAGTAGGTGAACAGATGATCTCCGCATGTGTGGTTCCCACCGTTAAGCATGGAGGAGGAGGTGTGATGGTGTGGGGGTGCTTTGCTGGTGACACTGTCAGTGATTTATTTAGAATTCAAAGCACACTTAACCAGCACGGCTACCACATCATTTGTTTTTCAACAGGAAAATGACCCAACACACCTCCAGGCTGTGTAAGGGCTATTTGACCAAGGAGAGTGATGGAGTGCTGCATCAGATGACCTGGCCTCCACAATCACCCGACCTCAACACAATTGAGATGGTTTGGGATGAGTTGGACCATAGAGTGAAGGAAAAGCAGCCAACAAGTGCTCAGCATATATGGGAACTCCTTCAAGACTGTTGGAAAAGCATCCCAGGTGAAGCTGGTTGAGAGAATGCCAAGAGTGTGCAAAAGGTGGCTACTTTGAATAATATAAAATATATTTTCATTTGTTTAACACTTTTTTTGGTTACTACATAATTCCATATGTGATATTTCATAGTTTTATTGTCTTCACTATTATTCTACAATGTAGAAAATAGTCAAAATAAAGGAAAAACACTTGAATGAGTAGGCGTGTCCAAACTTTTGACTGGTACTGTGTGTATATATATATTTATTTATTTTCACACAACCCTTCAATCTTCCGTGACCCAAACTTGGGTCACTAGTTGAGAATCGCTGGATTAAAGCATTCTGTAGGCTACTTTTCATGTTAGGATCCTTCACATAGGCCTACCCTCCCTACCATGCCTGATGTTAGCAATCATATTCAAAATGCAAACAATACCACAAGCATACACAATGATGTTGAATGTAACATATGTAACATTGCATAACCGACCAATAACCTGTAAGAGACAGGACATGATAAACTCCACACACAAAAAGATCAGGGACAATAGGTTGGAGGCAAACCACCACAACACCCATAGGGGGAGCCAAAGGATCTGTAGGAGCAAGGAGAGTAGAGACACTAGTGTCCAGATAACTCTAGGCAGAGAGAGACCATCATGCTGGGTAACCTTGAAGAGAAACAAAGGTAGGATAATGGAACAACCAACCCAAGACATACTTCCATTCTTTTGTTATTTTCGTTCTCTCTGAACCCAACATACACACAAACAGTGTAACACAACAACAAAACATGTGTTTTATAACACTGCTCTGGCCTGAATGTGGTATGGTTGGAGAAGGGACCAAACCTGTTTCGGGGGGTCTGAAGTGGGGATTTCTAGCTGTATCCGATAATCTTCATCTGCAATCTTCCAAAGGGTGTACACTTTTACTGGGGAAAGAGTAAGAAGAACAGTTCAAAGAGCACAGTCAGTAATGTGATCATATATCTACATTATAATTTATCTATCTATACATTTGTGTATTTCCTCGAACTGTTTAAATACTTTTCTTCACTGTGGGGAGTATTGGCAAATAAACTATCATATCTTTGGTATTGGTTATTGTGTACTCACAGAGGGCAGTAATTGTTAGGAGTATGATCATCAGCTGTAACCAGCTCACATTGCCACCAGACGTCTGAGAGGACAGAGAGATGTTCAGTAAACTACTGTTGGATACCAACAGTTAAGAATCTTTCATGAATCTTTCATTGGAATTTCATACATATAAAATCAACCTGACTATCAAGGCAACTCTCTCTGTCATAGTAACTAGTCACATCACACCAGATATTCTTGAGTCCCATATATAAAGAAAGAGCAACCAAGGGTTTGGTGTCACCTCAGACCCAGACTCACCTCAGAGGCCACTGTAACAGTATCACCCCCAGTCCTCTGTTGATGTTCGCGGAATGTTTTCGCAATGTTAGCCAGCCTATAGTTTCTGACGATGTCACTGTTCTCTGTGAATTCTCTTCGACATTCAGGGCAGCTGTAATTGTTGTGGCACCTCAGGCTGTGGATACAGTCCAGGCAGTAGCTGTGTCCACATGGGAACTGGTGAGGATCATTTAATATCTCAAAGCAGATGAGACAAGTCAACTCCGGCAGAACACTGTCCATTTTGACAGAGTCAAGTATCTAATCCAACACAAACTTCAACACTCCACACAGCAATTTGACAGACAAAAGATTAACATAAAGAAGTAAGAGCATCCACTGCAAGCAGTCTTTAAAAACGAAAGCAAAAGGAAAGTTATTGTGTGGGTTCCTGTGTGGGAGGGGCCTGTGTGTGCCTGTGTGTGTTTAGGATTTAAGCAGATTCCTAGTCAACCTACTACAGGGATGGGCAACTTTGATGTGGGTGGGGGCCACAAAAAAACTGAACTCATCATGAGCGGCTGCAGTGGCTCGTGGGTCTGTGTAAAACCATTACAGTAAAACCATGTGCAATCAAGTAATTGTTGTGAGAAGGGAATGCAAAACGCAAGTATTATTTAATAACTTGGTAAAATGAATGATTTAAGGCTTAAGTTACAAAGCATTAACAAGCATTACAATGCATTATTCTAGGCATGATCAGAGAGAGAGAGAAGGCATAGCCTGAAAGGCCATGCCCCAAGAGTCCCTTGGGAGGATAGAGGGAAAGAGAGAGAGTATATCTCACCAGTGTCAGGAGTAAAAGAGAAAATCTACGACCATTTTATAAGCATCTGACTTGTTGACCAATGGTATTACTGTTGAGTTAATCCTTAAGAGGCGATTGACGCACCCATGCTATCTGTTTTTTTGTATGGGCTGCATCTCAATCCACCGCATCCGCCTATGTCAGCCTTCCACATCTGCGGTGGAAAGTGCTACAGCACTGCTCGTCAGACCAGGAGACATCCCGAAAATTGGTCTTCTCACGAAAACGTATGTAGCATCCGAATGGTTTGGCCTACAAACTAATATCATTCTATGGAAATATGAGACTCTCACGAACACGATGATGTTCTCCGTTTTGCACTACAAGCCCCACGGGACTCGTCGGTACCGCCGATGTGCCAATTTATGTCTGTAGCGTCTGAACCGTATGGGCTACAAACTACACTGAACAAAAATATAAACAACTTGGAAAATGTTGGTCCATGAGCTGAAATAAAAGATCTCCGAAATTTTCCATACGCACAAAAAACTTATTTATCTAACATTTTGTGCACAAATTTGTTTACATCCTTGTTACACAGGTGCACCTTGTGCTGTGGACAATAAAAGGCCACTCTAAAATGTGCAGTTTTGTCACACAACACAATGCCACAGATGTCTCAAGTTGAGGGAGCGACAATTGTCATGCTGAATGCAAGAATGTCCACCAGAGCTGTTGCTAGAGAATGTTAAATTCTCTACCATAAGCTGCCTCTCCAACGTCGTTTTAGAGAATTTGGCAGTACAACCAACCGGCCTCACAATCGCAGACCACGTGTAACCATGCCAGCCCAGGACCTCCACATCCGGCTTCTTCACCTGCCTAATAGTCTGAGACCAGACACCCGGACAGCTGATGAAACTGTGGGTTTGCTCAACCGAAGAATTTCTGCACAAACTGTCAGAAACCGTCTCAGGGAAGCTCATCTGCGTGCTCGTCGTCCTCACCAAGGTCTTAACCTGACTACAGTTCGGCGTCGTAACCGACTTCAGTGGGCAAATGCTCACCTTCAATGGCCACTGGCAACTGTACCGGGCAGATGGCATCGTGTGGGCGAGCGGTTTGCTGATGTCAACGTTGTGAACAGAGTGCCCCATGGTGGCGGTGGGGTTATGGTATGGGCAGGCATAAGCTACGGACAACGAACGCAATTGCATTTTATCAATAGCAATTTGAATGCACAGAGACACCGTGATGAGATCCTGAGGCCCATTGTCGTGCCATTCATCCGCTGCCATCGCCTCATGTTTCAGCATGATAATGCATCTCGCAAGGATCTGTACACAATTCCTAGAAGCTGAAAATGTCCCAATTCCTCCATGGCCTGCATACTCACCAGACACCAACTTTGCACAGCCATTGAATAGGCGTGGGACAACATTCCACAGGCCACAATCAACAGCCTGATCAACTCTGTCTGAAGGTAACCTGATATCGGTTTAAAAAATGTATGGAAGTATAAGTATAAATAATATATTTCCTGCGCTCATACACTACATGACCAAAATTATGTGGACACCTGCTCGTCAAACATCTCATTCCAAAATCATGGGCATTAATATGGAGTTGGTCCCCCCTTTGCTACTATAACAGCCTCCACTCTTCTGGGAAGACTTTCCACTAGATGTTGCAATATTGCTGCCGGGACTTGCTTCTATTCAGCCACAAGAGCATCAGTGAGGTCGGCACTGATGTTGGGCGAATAGGCCTGGCTCGCAGTTGGTGTTCCAATTCATCCCAAAGGTGTTCGATGGGGTTGAGGTCAGGGCTCAGTGCAGGCCAATCAAGTTCTTCCACACCGATCTCAACAAACCATTTCTGTATGGACCTCGCTTTGTGCATGGGGGCATTGTCATGCTGAAAGTTGGAAGCACAGAATCGTCTAGATTGACATTCTATGCTGTGGCGTTAAGATTTCCCTTCACTGGAACTAAGGGGCCTAGCCCAAACCATGAAAAACAGCCCCAGACCATTATTCCTCCTCCACCAAACTTTAGCATTCTCCTGGCATTCGCCAAACCCAGATTAGTCAGTCGGACTGACAGATGGTGAAGCGTGATTCATCACTCCAGAGAACGCGTTTCCACTGCTCCAGAGTCCATTGGTGGCGGGCTTTACACTACTCCAGCCGACGCTTGGCATTGCGCAAGGTGATCTTAGGCTTGTGTGCGGCTGCTCGGCCATGGAAACCCATTTCATGAAGCTCCCGACGAACAGTTCTTGTGCTGATGTTGCTTCTAAAGGCAGTTTGGAACTCGGTAGTGAATGTTGCACGCTTCAGCACTCAGCGGTCCCGTTCTGTGAGCTTGTGTGGCCTACCACGGCTGAGCTGTTGTTGCTCCTGGGACGTTTCCACTTCACAATAACAGCACTTACAGCTCTAGCAGGGCAGAAATTTGACGAACTGACAGTAAGGCCATTCTACTGCCAATGTTTGTCTGTGGAGATTGCATGGCTGTGTGCTCGATTTTAAACACCTTTCAGCAACGGGTATGGCTGAAATAGCCGAATCCACTAATTTGAAGGGGTGTCCATGTCACACCCTGATCTGTTTCACCTGTCTTTGTGATTGTCTCCATCCCCCTCCAGGTGTCGCCCATCTTCCCCATTATCCCCAGTGTATTTATACCTGTGTTCTCTGTTTGTCTGTTGCCAGTTCGTTTTGTTTCGTCAAGCCTACCAGCGGTTTTCCCCTTGCTCCTGTCTTTCTCAAGTTCCTCTTTTCTAGTTTTCCCAGTTTTGACCATTCTGCCTGCCCTGACCCTGAGCCTGCCTGCCATTCTGTACCTTGTCACACCACCCTGGATTATTGACCTCTGCCTGCCCTGACCCGGAGACTGCCTGCCGTTCTTTACCTTTTGGACTCTGATCTGGATTACTGACCTCTGCCTGCCCTTGATCCTGTTTTTGTAATAAACGTTTGTTACTTCTACACTGTCTGCATCTGGGTCTTCTCCTGAAACGTGATAGTCCATATACTTTTGTATATATATACTGTATCTCCTTGATATAGGACAGACACTTCAAAACCTTATTCCTTCTGATTATTGTTTGTTTACTTTCTGTTTTGCCATTTGTTAATGTGTTGTTCAATTATTTATCAAATACACAAAATGGTGGTTGGTGAGATAATGCAGCATTCCTGAGACAACACAAAGGAAAATCTTGTATACAGTTCATAAGAGTCACTTCGGGGGTTGGACCACCGTACAGTCATGTGAAAGTGCCAGTTGTTCCAGGTCTAATGTGCTAAAGGACGCCCTACCTGGAGGTGGTACTTTCCCCTCTGTAAATCACTGCACTGCTTCCTCATTCCAACCAGCCTTATACTGACCAAGGACTGAGGGAGAGAGAAGACGATAAGCTAAGTCAATGACTCACACAGACAGATAAAACAACAACAATAAAAGTTCTGAGGTAATTAGATCCAGTGGTGGACAGGGCCACAATTGGTCTGGATCTACATGTATAGTGATCTAAAGTTAAGTCGAACTTAAAGTTTATGCGAACTGAACTGGACTAATCCAAACAGAGCTGAGCTAAGCAGGACCAGGACAAAGTGGGACCATGGCAGCAACCCCTAGACGGGTTTACAAGAGGAGGGAGACCATCACAGCCCTCCCTCTGTATTACTCAGGACAGCTGCAGAAGAAATACACTGGAGAGAAGGTAACGAACAGGAGAGAGAGAGAATGGGGGACACCTGTTAATTGACTACCTCATGAAGCTGGTTGAGAGAATGCCAAGAGTGTGCAAAGCTGTCATCAAGGCAAAGGGTGGCTATTTGAAGAATCTCAAATATTACATATATTTTGATTTGTTTAACACTTTTTTGGTTAGTATATGGTTCCATATGTGTTATTTCATAGTTTTGATGTCTTCACTATTATTCTACAATGTAGAAAATAGTAAAAATTAACGAAAACCCTGGAATGAGTAGGTCTGTCCAAACTTTTGACTGGTACTGTATGTTAGATTTTTTTATACATTTAAACAGAAACTATACATTGTACAACACTACACAATACAATGCCTTCAGAAAGTATTCACACCCCTTTACTTTTTCCACATTTTGCTGTGTTACGAATTGGGATTAAAATTGATTTAATTGTTTGCTTTTTCAATGATATACACAAAGTACTCTGTCAAAGTGGAAGAAAAATTATATATTTTAAATAGGTTAATGAAAAATATAACGAATATATGTTGATTAGATAAGTATTCAACCCCCTGAATCAATACATGTAAGATCCCCTTTTGCAGCGATTACAGCTGTGAGTCTTTTTGAGTAAGTCTCCAGAGATTTGCCCACCTGGATTGTACAATATTTGCCAATTATTATTTTCTACACTCTTCAAGCTCTGTGAAGATGGTTGTTGATCATTGCTAGACAGCCATTTTCGAGTCTTGCCATAGATTTTCAAGCTGATTTAAGTCCAAACTGTAACTAGGCCACACAGGAACATTCAATGTCATCTTGGTAAGCAACTCCAGTGTATAGTTGGCCTTGAGTTTAATTATTGTCCTGCTGAAAGGTGAATTTGTATCCCAGTGTTGGAAAGCAGACTGAACCAGGTTTTCCTCTTGTCACGGATTCTGCCGAGGCTGCTCCTCCTCCTTGCTCGGGCAGGCTTCGGCGGTCGCCGTCCCCAGAGTACTAGCTACCACCGTTAGATGTTTCGATGTTAGATTGGTTTTGTCTGTCTATTGCACCTGTGTCCGTTTGTGTCTGATTATGTGTCCTATAAGTTGCCTGCTTTGTGTTGTTTAGTTTGTGTGTTATTGTACGCCTGTCCGTTGGTGCTGCGTGTTTTTTCTCTGTTTGTTGTTTTGTAGTATACGCACAGTTTGCGTAATCGCTCGCCTCTGTTTAGTGTTGAGGCCGTTGTTTGTATTTTTGCCTAGTGTTTACAAGTAAAGTCTGTTGGACTAAGCTTCGGTGTCCTGCGCCTGACTCCCACACCACATTTACATCAGCCCTTGACACCTCTAGGATTTTGCATGTGCTTAGCTGTATTCCATTTATTTTTATCAACAACAAAAAAACTCCCTAGTCAATGACGAGCATATCCAAAACATGATGCAGCCACCACCATCCTTGAAAATATGAAGAGTGATACTCAGTGATGTGTTGTGTTGGATTTGCCCCAAACATAACGCTTTTTATTCAGGACATAAAGATAATTTATTTGCCAATTTTTTTTGCAGTATTACTTTAGTGCCTTATTGCAAACAGGATGCATGTTTTGGAATATTTTGTATTCTGTACAGACTTTCTTCTTTTCACTCTGTTAATTAGGTTAGTATTGTGGAGTAACTACAATATTGTTTAGCCATTCTCAGTTTTCTCCTATCACAGCCATTAAACTCTAACTGTTTTAAAGTCACCATTAGCCTAATGGTGAAATCCCTGAGAGGTTTCCTTCCTCTCCGGCAACTGAGTAAGGAAGGACACCTGTATCTTTGTAGTGACTGGGTGTATTGATACACCATCCAAAGTGTAATTAAATAACTTCACCATGCTCAAAGAGATATTCAATGTCTGTTTTTTTACCAAAAGGTGCCCTCTTCTTTGCGAGGCATTGGAAAACCTCCCAGGTCTTTGTGTTTGAATCTGTGCTTGAAAGTCACTACTCGACTGAGGGACCTATTGTATGTGTGGGGTACAGAGATGGTAAAAATCATGTTTGGGAACCACAGTTTGGGAACCACTGCTGTAATTAAACGTTAAACTTGTACACTGCCAGTTCTGCAGTCACAATGAGACTGACAGAACGGCATGTGACAATAAAGAGACGACTGAAGTTTAATTGTGAAGACAGTCCCATTTTGTTAAAATATTATTTGGCCAATTTATTATATTTGCCATACTACCAGTCAAAAGTTTGGACACACCTACTCATTCAAGGGTTTTCGTTAATTTTTACTATTTTCTACATTGTAGAATAATAGTGACGACATCAAAACTATGCAATAACACATATAGAATCATGTAGTAACCAAAAGTGTTAAACAAATCAAAATATATTTTATATTTGAGATTCTTCAAATAGCCACCATTTGCCTTGATGACAGCTTTGCACACTCTCGGCATTCTCTCAACCAGCTTCATGAGGTAGTCAATTAACAGGTGTACCTTCTTAAAAGTTAATTTGTGGATTTTCTTTCCTTCTTAATGCGTTTGAGCCAATCAGATGTGTTGTGACAAGGTATGGGGGGAATACAGAAGATAGCCCTATTTGGTAAAAGACCAAGTCCATATTATGGCAAGAACAGCTCAAATACGCAAAGAGAAACGACAGTCCATCATTACTTTAAGACATGAAGGTCAGTCAATACGGAACATTTCAAAAACTTTGAACGTTTCTTCAAGTGCAGTCACAAAAACCATCAAGCGCTATGATGAAACTGGCTCTCATGAGGACCGCCACAGGAATGGAAGACCCAGAGTTACCTCTGCTGCAGAGGATACGTTCATTAGAGTTACCAGCCTCAGAAATTGCAGCCCAAATATATGCTTCACAGAGTTCAAGTAACAGACACATCTCAACATCAACTGTTCAGATGGGACTGTGTGAATTACATTTACATTTTAGTCATTTAGCAGACGCTCTTATCCAGAGCGACTTACAGTTAAGTGAGTGCATACATTTTCATACTGGCCCCCCGTGGGAAACAAACCCACAACCCTGGCGTTGCAAGCGCCATGCTCTATCAACTGAGCTACAGGGGACTACGACTGAATCAGGCCTCTATGGTCAAATTGCTGCAAAGAAACCACTACTAAAAGGACACCAATAAGAAGAAGAGACCTCCTTGGGCCAAGAAACACGAGCAATGGACATTAGACCGGTGGAAATGTGTCCTTTGGTCTGGAGTCCAAATTTGAGATTTTTGGTTCACACCGATGTGTCTTTGTGAGATGCGATGTGGGTGAACGGATGATCTCCGCATGTGTAGTTCCCACCGTAAAGCATGGAGGAGGTGTTATGATGTGGGGGTGCTTTGCTGGTGACACTGTCTGTGATTTATTTAGAATTCAAGGCACACTTAACCAGCATGGCTACCACAGCATTCTGCAGCGATACACCATCCCATCTGGTTTGGGCTTAGTGGGACTATCATTTGTTTTTCAACAGGACAATGACCCAACACACCTCCAGGCTGTGTAAGGGCTAGTTTACCAAGAAGGAGAGTGATGGAGTGCTGCATCAGATTACCTGGCCTCCACAATCCCCTGACCTCAACTCAATTGAGATGGTTTGGGATGAGTCGGACCACAGAGTGAAGGAAAAGCAGCCAACAAGTGCTAAGCATATGTGGGGACTCTTTCAAGACTGTTGGAAAAGCATTCCAGGTGAAGCTGGTTGAGAGAATGCCAAGAGTGTGCAAAGCTGTCATCAAGGCAAAGGGTGGCTATTTGAAGAATCTCAAATATAAAATATATTTTGATTTGTTTAACACTTCTTTTGGGTACTACATGAGTTTGATGTCTTCACTATTATTCTATACTGTAGAAAATAGTAAAAATAAAGAAAAACCCTTGAATGAGTAGGTGTGTACATTAAATACATTTTCCGATGCCTTTCACATATTGTGAAATATATTTTACACACATTTATATATACATTAAAAAATATATATTAAATAATAAATACAAACATTATTTGGCCAATTTTGAATATTTCACATTAACTAAAAAATTTATCAAAAAATATATTTTAAATTAATTTTTTCATGTATGGGGAGGGAGAGAGAAAGAGAAGGTTAGTGAACTGGAGAGATTTATCAAAGTTAGATATAGAAATATATACTTATATCAAAGTAAATCAATTCAGTTGGGCTGTTGGGCATGTTTCTGCAAGTGTAGAGCAGTGGACATCATGTTGAATCTGGTTTGGCCTTTTCCAGGACTTTAAGAACTTTTATGGGGAGCTCCGTGGATCTACAATCTTTCTGTACAGAGACGAGATGCATGACACAGTAAGAGAATAGCTGCACTCATCTAATCTCTGTTGTTTTGTATCAAGTGTTGGAATCGATCTATGGCTTGACTAATCAGATATGTAATTCCCTATCAGTACTCAGAGAAACTGAACCTTCAGATGTTGAAGTCGATGGCGATGGATTCTTCCTATCAAAACAACAGGTCAACCATCTACACTCTCACCCTGTCCAATGAGGAAGTGCAGCTAAAGGTCATTTATGTTACATTCAGTCACGTTGCTGCCACTCCTAAGCAGAATGTGTTACTGGCCAATATAAAAGTGGTTGCACAATCCTGCAGATTTACATTACAGGTATCTAGGACAGGAGTACTAACTGTTGATATCTGATGTAGGTGGATAACCCCAACACAGGAGAGGAGTGGAGAGGCTTCATCATGACTGTGGCCACTGTGAGTAACACACACACACACACACACACATTGGGCTGTCAGGGTTAAATACTCATTCTGACCCACTTTCCTGAGAGGTAATTAAGAAGAGAACTTCTAGATTAAACTAAAGAGCAAAGTAAATATAAACTTCCAATTTATTTCACTGGAACGTGATAGCAGACAGAGAGAAAATACATAAACCTTAGTATACCTTAGCTTTAAGCATTTTTGGGTGATGATGATGATGTGCCCTGTAGAAGGAGATCCCCAGTAAGCTGCAGCTGCTCCCAGGTCAGATACTGAGGCTGGAAGAGGTTCTGTCTGAGGAGAAGAAGAGACAGGCCCCACGTCCTCCCCTGCCTCCCACCACCGACCATATCCATCCCTCCTCAGGAGACATATGACGACGCCCTCTCTGGAATCCCCCCGTGAGTATTGCCATGTTTCTGTTCATTATTTTGATACAAAATGTATTTATCTCCCTGTCTCCTCTCACCCTCCTTTTCTCCTCCTCCCTCCAGCTGTTTCTTCCCTGTGTCTCGTCAGAAGGCAGAGAATATGTTGAAGGACAACACAAAGTACGGCAGCATCATTCTCCGCCCCTCGACTGACAACACTAACTACGCCATCACCTTGAGACAGGACCACCCCAGGTCTTGAACATAAACACCAAACCCCTGACCTTTAACCCAGAACTCCAACACCCCGTAACTTACAGGCCTAAAGTTTCTCCCCCCTTCACTAAACAAGCCTTTATTGACAACAGTACCCTATACCTATCATACAACAGTGTCTCTGGCTGAGGGAGTAGGGAGTAGACTTTGAGAGTACTCTTGAGATTTACCAGACTCTTTCTATCTTTCAGTGGCCCAGTGATGAAGAACTACAAAGTGCTTTCCATAGACACAGGCTTCGTCATAGAACTAGATGCCCCGGTGAGTCCTGCTCCTCCAGCCTGATTCCTGTATTGAATGTCTGACTCTCATCCCATCAGGATGGGCTCAAAACACAGCACTGATATGAGACAACACTCTGTATACGCTTAGTGTCTTGACAGCCCGTCAAGTTGCTTTTGTGAAATTACATTTGTCCGATGTCTGCTTCTGATATGAGGTAACTTCCTAATGTCTGTCCATTTCATCAGGTGACTGTCCCTTCCCTGGAGGCAGTGCTAGATCACTTCCTGAAGGCGACAGAGTTCCGTCTGCACCCATACCTGGTCCCCCAGCCCTACGACACCTGCATTGGTGAGAGAGCATCACAACACCACAAATAAATTGATTCACCGCTTAAGGCTAAACTTATCCCCATAACGATCATATCATTACATCTGTGTGTGTAACGTGTGGTGACCTGTGCCCATCAGATTTGCCACCCGCATTGCACTGTTTTCCACCCAAAATGGTCCCCCAGGCGAGAGTGGCACCTATGATCCACACAAAGTCTGCGACAGGGAGCACCCCTCCCTCCTTTCCCAAACCCCCACTGCCAATCAAAGCCACAGAGGCAGGAAACAAATATCAGGGTGCATATGAAGTATCAACCCCCAGGTGTGTGTGTCACAATCAACTTCAGAGCATCAGTGTGTTTACAATAGATGTGGGTGCAGTCTCAGACTTGTAAGTTCTCTTCAGTCCGTCTCTACTCTCTGTCTCCGTCTCTCCAGACCCCAGACCTGAAGACCTGGATTAGGAGCTCCGCAGAGCAGTACAGAAGAGGATGAAACAAGACCTACACAGGGGCAGTTTTCACATGCTACACACAAATAACACACACACAGCAACACTCTCACAGAGGAACACACTTGATCTATAGCATCTAGCATGGTTTTATTTCTCACAGTGGTTTTGTACCCAAAGGTAACGTTGGCGAGGCAACATCCTGTCAATCATCCTTGTGAAGATGTGTACACTGTAGTATTTTACATTTTAGTCATTTAGCAGACGCTCTTATCCAGAGCGACTTACAGTTAGTGAGGTAGTATATGCGCTTCAGTGCATCAAATGTCATTCAAACTACTTTTTCAAATATGTCCTACAGAGAGTAATGAATCAAGTTTAAACTGTAATGATATGTTTGAATCACGTTTGCTTTTGTACAGCTCATGCTTGGCTTGAGTTAAAAATTAGGCGATGTTATGTAGATTTTATATAATAAAATGGGGCATAAAGATTAACACTGGTCTGTGAATTGCTTCTGACCTTTGCACGCACACACACACTCAGAAATAAACTACCACACAAATGCATTTTCCAAGTCACATGCAAGAGTCAACCAGCATAATTGTTTCAAACATTATTATATATTTTTAAATCAATAATTATCTTATATCAGTATTTTTTAAATAAGTATTATCAGTTTGTATCATAGGTCAAAGGTTAACGGATTGTTATCACTCAATTAATGACAACTGGGTTGTGAAAAATAAAGCAAAGTGTTATCTCCATTTTCCCCTCTTCATCCATTCAGGGTCTTAAGAGTGCTCTCACAGCAGCACTGCTAGTTTTACCATCTCTCAAACCAACCCTTTTCACTGGACAGGTGACAGCAAATATGGCAGATGCCCCCTGGTGAATGGAAAGTAGTTCTATATCGTGGAGCTCCGCCCCATAGGGGAGCTCTGCTCCTATTGGTTTACCCACTGCCCTAAGGCAGCATCAGCCTGAGACAAAATTATGCACACACCTGCAGCCAATAGGAGTACAGGTGTCCCTATAAGAGGGGATGCCTCCCCTCAATTAGCCTCCCTTTATCTTCAGCGACTGGACTAGACTGAAGAAGCCAAGAAGAGACGAAGAGAAGACTCAGGATGAAGAAACGCAGTCGATTTTCCAGTTCATTGACGTCGTCCTAAATGAGCACACCAGGAGATTTTCCACCCCCAAAAGCTATTTTCAGAGCTCAATGCCGCTGTGCCTCCTTGACAGCTGTGGACCCCCACGACCTATGTTTCGTGTGTTTGGGTCCACAGCACGCCAAGGATGGCGTCAGCGTTCCCCCTAAATGCACCAGCTGCGCCCTCCTTCCTTTGAAGCAGAGGCGCGCATTTTTTAGGGAGGATATTCCCCTAGAGGACGTGCTCTCAGTTTTGGCCTCAGCTTCTGAGGCGTCATCTGGAGAGGCTGACTCTGGGGATGACAGGGATGAGATGGACGTTCCTATGGAATAGTCCAGTCTCAAGACCCAGACTTTTAAGACCCCCTTTCCTTTGGAGAGAGAGGGGTCTTATTCTTCCCTGGGCGATGAAGACACGGGCTCTGAGAGGTCAGAAGCCCTGTCTTTCACAGCGGCCTCTCTACGCTCAGACTTCCCTGGGCTTATTGAGAGGGCTGCTACACGGCTAGAAATAGCCCTGCCCCCCATTCCTGCCGTACCGGAAGTGGATATGATGGAGGGCGGCCCGTATTCCAGACCAAGAAGGGCGGCTGAGCCTTTGGCTCCAGCAATGCCCTCTTTGGCTAAATACGCGGAGGGCTCATGGGAGGCGCATATGGAGGCGCGTTCGCTGGCCAGGGCGTATCTCCCATTTACCAGAGTGGAGGGAAGGCAACAGGGCCTCACGGAGGGAATCCCCAGGCTAGAGAGCGCCCTATCTCGTGCCGGGTTCGAGTCCCTGGCCCTCTTCCAAGAAGGCCACTCTACCAATGCAAAAATGACCGACTCACAGCACGGCTGGTAGAGAAGTTCTATATCGTGGAGCTCCGCCCCATAGGGGAGCTCTGCTCCTATTGGTTTACCCACTGCCCTAAGGCAGCATCAGCCTGAGACAAAATTATGCACACACCTACAGCCAATAGGAGTACAGGTGTCCTTATAAGAGGGGATGCCTCCCCTCAGTCAGCCTCCCTTTATCTTCAGCGACTGGACTAGACTGGAGAAGCCAAGAAGACACGAAGAAAAGACGAGATACGCCGTCAATTTTCCAGCTCATCGACGTCGTCCCAGAAATGAGCACACCTGGAGATTTTCCACCCCCAAAAGCTATTTTCAGAGCTCAATGCCGATGCTCCTCCATGGCGGCTGGCGACTCCCACGACTTATGTTTTGTGTGTTTGGGGTCTCAGCATGCCAAGGAGGGCGTCAGCAGTCCCCTTAACTGCGCCTCCTGCACCCTCCTTTCTATAAAGGAGAGGAAGCAGCGCTGGGCGTTCTTCAGGGAGGATATCCCTCTTGAGGATGTACTGTCGATTTTAGCCTCTGCTTCAGAGGCGTCATCTGACGGCGCAGACTCTGGAGATGATGGGGACTATGAGGAGGAGGCAGGCATTCCAATGGAACAGTCTGACCCCATCCCTCATACTTTCAAGCCCCCCTTTCCTTTGGATAGTGAGAGGGCTTGTTGTTCCTATGGCGATGACGACACAGGCGCTGAGAAATCAGAAGCCCTGTCCTTCGCTGCAGCTTCTCTGAGGTCGGACTTTCCCGGACTCATTGAGAGAGCTGCTAGGCGACTGGAAATAGCGCTGCCCCCTATTCCCTCTGCACCGGAGGTAGATTTAATGGAGGGCGGCCCCTATTCCAGCCAAGGAGAGCGGCAGAGCCACTGGCTCCAGCTATGCCCTCATTGGCCAAGTATGTCGAGGGCTCATGGGAGGCACCTCTAGCGGCGCGTTCGCCAGCTAAGTCGTACCTCCCGTTCACTAGAGTGGAGGGAAGGTTCCAGGGCCAAGCTAAAGGAATCCCCAGGTTAGAGGGCGGCGTATCTCGTACCGGGTTCGAGTCCTTGGCCCTCTTCCAAAAAGGCCACTCTACCATCTCAGAAGGACCGTCTCACAGCACAGCTGTTAGAGAAGTCCTTCAATTTGGGAGCCCAGGCTGTAGCAGCAGCCAATAACATTGCCCTCTTGGCAGCTGCTCTGTCCCGTTTGACCACGGGTAAGACTGAGCTGGAACCAGAGGAGGTGGAGGAGGCGTCCAGAATTTCTGGCGCCATCTTGCACCTAACACAGGCTTCGGCCGTCTGCTCGGGGAGGTCCATGGCCACTTTGGTGGTCGCGGAGCGACACCTCTGGTTGTCTCTGACGACCATGAAATAGGCAGACAGGACGTCACTCTTGAACGCCCCCCTCTCTGACGACGGGCTCTTCGGAGTCGCCGTCAAAGAGGCGACAGAGAGGTTTTCAAGGCTGGACGAAGAGAAGAAGCAGCTGGCCAGACACCTGCCACTGGCAGGGAGGTTAGGCCCTGCACCCCAATCCCAAAGGCCGTCCACTTCCGCTGCCCAAGGTAGACAAGGGTCTACGGCGAGGCGGCGTATCCGGCGGCTACAGGAGGCAGGAGAGCGGGCTCCGCCCCCCCAGCAGCCACGGTGGCCCCAATGGCACAGGCGGCGAGGGAAGTCGTGAGAACGCCGACCTGGCATCCGAAAGGAGGCCACAAGAGGAGGCGCACGTGACGGGACGCGGGGGAGTGGATGGAGGACACGTTGAGATCGAACGTGGCCACTGTTCCCCCCCACCCTTCGGTTGAAGGGATGGGTGATGATGTTGCTTTCTGTGATGTATGTAATAAAGAGTTGGCTCCACCTGACTTTGTCAGAAAAGAGCCCCTTTTCCGTAATATGTCCGAGAGAGTTCATATCTCACCCTCTCTCTCTTACCACTGAGCGCCGTTCAGCCCACCAAGGGTGCGTTGCTGAACAGACACTTAGGGTAGGTATAAATAACACTTCATGTATAAGGAGTGTCTCACATAGCAGGCTACAGTCTCGGTCAGACTCTGACAAGATGACGCAGCCGCTATTTGGGGATGGCGCACTATCGCAGACTAAGGTCTCTGTTAGTGCGATTCAGACCCATGCTGCGTTCACGGAGGGCCCGATTACCACGGTCACGAAAGTAACCAACGTATCGGCGCCCCCGCCTCTCTTAGTGTGATGAGCATTGGCGCGTTTTGAGTGTAACTCAGCCCACCAGAGGTGCAGAGCTGAGCACACACAGGAGGTGAAAGGAAAAAAGATACCAAGGCGCCGTCTTGGATTATCTCAGAGAGACCTCACATTACAGACTCCAGGGAGTACTGTAGTGAGTGTCTCTCATAGCAGGTTGCAGTCTCAGTCAGGAGACAGGATGACGCAACCGCTATTTGGGGATGGCGCACTATCGCAGACTAAGGTCTCTGTTAGTGCGATTCAGAACCATGCTGCGTTCACGGAGGGCCTGATTACTACGGTTACGGGAATAACCAACGTATCGGCGCCCCCGTTTCTCACAGAACGCGCTGATGCTTACCACGCTGAGTGTAGCTCAACCCACCAGAGGTGCAGAGCTGAGCACACACAGAAGGTGAAGGTTAAGAAGGTATCAAGGCGCCGCCTTGTGTTACCTCAGAGACCTCATATTACAGACTCCTAGGAGTATTGTAGTGAGGGGCACTCATAGCGAATTGCAGTCACAGCCAGATTCTGGAATGATGACGCAATCGCTCGCTGGGGATGGTGCTCTGTCGCAGGCTGTGGCCTCGGTCAGTGCAGTTCAGACCCGCGCTGTGTTCATGGAGGGCAGGAATACGACGGTTACGGGTTTAACCAATGTCTCTGCCCCTCCGTCTCTCTCAGAACGCACTGATGTTTCCTCTCCCTTTCATGGGAGGCTCACCTTGGGCTGTTCCACCACCTCAGTGTTGGAGAACAGCGGCAGCAAGGGCCATAGAGGAATACAGGTCCTTCCTACTGAATGTACCACAGCTTTGCGCTCGCTCGCTTTCTCTGCATTGCTGGCAGTGGCAGCGAAGATGTACCCTCTCACGCTGGCTAGACCAGACGTTGCAGAAGGGTTAAGCCATCCAATTCCATCGGACCCCGCCCCCATTCAGGGGAGTGGTGGAGACTGATGAAAACGCCCGAAAAAGTAGCCGCTCTGGTTTCAGAGATTACGGAACTTTTGGCGAAGGAGGCGGTCACAGTAGTTCCCCAGGAGCAAAGGAACAAAGGGCTATATTCGCCCTACTTCCTGGTGCCCAAAAAGACGGGGGGAATGAGGCCGATATTGGATTTACGCATTCTCAACGAGAGCGTAACCAAACGGCCCTTTCGAATGCTCACGACAAAACGTCTACTGGAATGTGTCCAGAAGGGAGACTTTTGTACAAGCATAGACCTAAAGGACGCGTACTTTCATGTGCCGGTACACAGGAAGTTTCTGCGATTCGCCTTTCAAGGGGTGGCGTACGAATACACGAGGATGCCATTCAGGGACGCTCTGGCACCTCGCACGTTTTCCAAGTGTGTGGAGGCGGCATTGGAACCATTGCATCGTCAGGGAATAAGGCTACTAGCCTACCTAGACGACCTACTGGTTCTCGCCCCGTCAGCAGAGCTGGCGATCACTCACACGACACAGACAGTGATTCATCTCACACGTCTGGGGTTCACTGTGAATTGGAAAAAGAGCTCGCCCTGGCCCAGTCGTCAGATTGTCTACCTGGGGATACAGCTAGACACTGTAATGATGAGAGCTCGAATTTCGGACCCTCGAAGGGTAGCTTTGTTGCTAGCCCTGAGGAAGTGTCGTCCGAATCACACGGTGACGGTGCTGTCGATCATGTCACTCTTGGGTCTCATGTCGTCAGCCCACTCTGTGGTTCCGCTGGGACTCCTGCAGATGCGCAGGATGCAGTGATGGTTCGCCCAACTAAGACTAGACCCAGTGCGTCAACGTCATCGGTTGGTGGTGGTTCCCCTCTCGCTCAGTGCAGATCTGAACTATTGGAGAAACCCGAGTCCCGACAGGCAAAGTGTCCTTCTGCATTCCAGTGTTCACAGATGCCTCTATGACTGGATGGGGAGGGACATGTCAGACCCAAGCGATAGGAGGGGTGTGGCCTCTTTCGAGTCGCCACATCAAGTTGGAAACGGTTCGACTGGTTCTGACCCACTTCGCGTCTACCCTTCGGGGTCGCGATGTGCTGGTCTGGTCAGACAACCGGACCACAGTAGCCCACATAAATCGCCAGGGAGGAGTCAGGTCTCCTGCTCTCCATCGGGCGGCAGAGGAATTGTGGCTGTGGGCTCACGAGCACCTTCGCTCATTGAGAGCAGCACACATTCCGGGCTACTTGAACGTAGGAGCAGACCTCATGTCAAGAGGGGGTCCTCGAGACGACGAGTGGTGTCTGCATCCGGACATTGTTCTCAAAATCTGGGAACAGTTCGGGAGAGCCGAGGTGGATCTATTCGCGTCACGCGTGAACGCGCAATGTCCCCTATGGTTCTCTCTGAGGGAACAGGACTAACCGCCACTGGGAAGAGACGCATTTGCGCACCACCCGTGGCCTAGAGTTCTTCTATATGCATTCCCTCCGCTGTCCTGCATTCTCCCACTGTTAGCCAGGGTGAGATCAGGAGGGCTGTCAGTGATATTGATAGCCCCGATCGCCCAGGGGCTCCTTGGTTTGCGGAGATGAGTCAGATGTTGATTGCGCCACCTTGGCCAATTCCACATCGACGGGACGCATTGTGTCTCAGGTGTGGGGTTCGATAGGGCAATTGCCTATAATCGGCCAACCACTGAAGGCTTGGCTCCTGAGAGGGACAGGCTAGAGCGCCGTGGGTTATCTGATGCAGTGATCAGGACCATACAGGGTTCACGTGCCAGTTCCACTTCCAGGGTGTATGCCAGTAGATGGAAAGTTTTTTCACAATGGTGCCTCACACAAGGTGTAGACCCCATGAGCTGTCAGGTTGAGAGTGTTCTCTCTTTACTACAGTTTGTTTGATGAGCAGCGATCGCCCGCCACCATTAAGGTGTTTGCAGCGGCGATTTCAGCTTGTCACGAGGGGTTTGGCAGAGACACTGTCTTCAGCCACCCTCTAGTGAAACGTTTCTTATTGGGAACGCGGCGGCTTAGGCCAATGCCTAGAGCCACGCTTCCTCAGTGGGATTTGGCTTTGGTACTCGAAGCGCTATGTAAGTCGCCGTTCGAGCCATTGAATCAAATACCCCTCAAGATGCTGTCTATGAAGACAGCACTGTTGCTCGCTTTGACTACTGCTAAGCGTGTCAGTGATTTGTGTGCCCTGTCGACGAGACCCGACTGCCTGGCCATTAATGGTGATCTGAGCAGAGCGGTGTTACGTCCTAACCCGGCATTTGTGCCGAAGGTTATTAAGAGTTCATATAGGTCACAGACCGTGGAGCTGTGGGCTTTTTCTCCCCCTCCTCATAGGGAGAGAAGTGAGGAAAGGCTCCATCGCCTGTGCCCAGTGCGCGCTTTGGCGTGTTACGTTGAGCGCACAGCAGCGATTAGGTCATCGCCTCAGCTGTTTGTGTCTCATGGTGCGGCTGCACTAGGTAGACCACTTTCAAAACAGCGCTTGTCTCATTGGCTTTGTGAGGGCATTGAGACAGCTTATGAGGCAGCGGGGCGACAATTGCCTCAGGGTATTAGAGCTCACTACACTCGTGGAGTAGCAGCTTCTACTGCCCTTCTCAGAGGAACAGGGGTAGAGGATATATGTAGAGCGGCGTCATGGTCAACACCGTCTCCATTTATCCGTTTCTATCTCTTGGATATGTCTTCTAACTCTTTGCCTCAGTCTGTACTCAGCGTGGCTGAGGAGAGGACTTGAGCTAGGAGAGAGGAATGCAGGACTGTGGAGACAGGTCTCTTTCAGGTCCGCTTCTGATAGAAGGACATATTTTTGGCATGACTCCTGACTGACAGGTTTAGTACAGTAGAGGGCATGTATTGATCTGCCCCCAGTGATTAACTGGATTGAGGCGGAATGATGAGGGATAATAGTAGTAACTTGGTTACGGTACTATTAGACCGGTCATGACAATTTGACGGAATGTGATGTCATCTATCTGCAGGTTCAGATTAGTATGAATCATGTTCTGGGATCTGCCCACTAATCTCTGGGGTTCCATTGATTGAGTGAGGCGGCCTACCGTGTACACAATGTAGAGTGACACTTTGTGTCATTCCATTAGTGGTCGGTATTATTGTGACAGGATATTGAGGTACCATCTATCTGCTAGTACAGATTAGTATGGCCCGTATTCTGGTGATCTGCCCACTAGTCATTGGTGTTGCCATTGGACTAGGTGGGGCGGGTTTTTAACCGATGATGCAGTATATTGTGAAACTTGTATGGTTTTACAGTGGTTGCAGTACTGCAGGAATTGGTTGCAGCCATTGCTAGGCCTGACCTTTTCGTTTCGATGGGAAGTGTTGGGCTCGGCAGGGAGTACATTTTGGAGCGCTACGCTCCGCCTAAAACCAATAGGAGCAGAGCTCCCCTATGGGGCAGAGCTCCACGATATAGAACGATTAGTTACCGGAGTGTAACTCCAGTTCTATGAGTGGAGCGGAGCCCCATAGGACTTAAGGCCCTACCGACCCTCTCTAGTCTCGCTGAAGAAAAATATCTCGGGAGGCTGATTGAGGGGAGGCATCCCCTCTTATAGGGACACCTGTACTCCTATTGGCTGTAGGTGTGTGCATAATTTTGTCTCAGGCTGATGCTGCCTTAGGGCAGTGGGTAAACCAATAGGAGCAGAGCTCCCCTATGGGGCTCCGCTCCACTCATAGAACTGGAGTTACACTCCGGTAACTATCGTTTCTACCATATTGCTTTTACCCACCTTGAGGAAAGTACCATCTCTAACTCCCTACATCCTAACCTCCCTCCCTGCAGTCTGGTCCTATACTCTCTCAGTGCCCCATTATTAAGACATCATAAAATAACAATTACATTATAATAATTTAACATTGCAGGTTAAAAAACAAAAACAATACATTAACATGTTTGTTCCCCAATTAAGACACGTGGCTACTTCTCTAAAAGTGACAGCTGAAGGATCCTCTCCAGCTCCTCCTCTTCCTCACCCTGTAACCGGAAACAGAATTAAGTCATCATATCCCAGAAACTGGCAATCAATCTCCCCAAATAATTTCCCTTTCCTCCTCCATCCTTATAATGCCACTCTGCATGGCTATGTTCAAATACTCTAGAATGGGTTCCTCTCCTCATCCTCTGGTCAGAAAACAATGGATGAACAGAGAAAGAAACCCTACAAGCACTCATACATACCCTCTCATACATGTCCATCTCTTCCTGTTCCCTACACGAGAGTTCCATGGCGATGCGTAGCTGCTCGTCAAAGCTGTTTGCCACGGAAAATGGCACCGGCAACCGCGGCTTAGCCACTGAGCTGTAGGAGGGAGGGGAGTAGGCTCCGGGGTGCGACGGCGAGACTGACAGGGGAGGGGCAGGATCTGCAGGCTCTCCTTCCTCACCACCAGCCAATGAGATCGACAGGGACTCCTGGATGGCCCTGCCAGAGAGAGGTAGCGGGATGACGGTTTAAAGGTAATGCCAGAGAGGGAAAGCCTTATAATACATTATTTGACATGAACAAGGTGAAGGGGAAAAGGAGGTATGTATGGAGACTGTTTTCTCACCTCTCCAGCTGAGAGTCATCCTCGTACAGGGGTGACGGTATGTGCCCAGAAACAGGACGACTGTTAGTCAGAGCCTCCCATATAGTCACCTACAGAGAGAGCTATTTTACTCAGGTTTTGTACTTACTGAACTTCCGTGGCAATCGTCATGAAAACCTAAAGCTGATAAATACACTGCTCAAAAAAATAAAAGGGAACACTAAAATAACACATCCTAGATCTGAATGAATGAAATAATCTTATTAAATACTTTTTTATTTACATAGTTGAATGTGCTGACAACAAAATCACACAAAAATTATCAATGGAAATCAAATTTATCAACCCATAGAGGTCTGGATTTGGAGTCACCCTCAAAATTTAAGTGGAAAACCACACTACAGGCTGATCCAACTTTGATGTAATGTCCTTAAAACAAGTCAAAATGAGGCTCAGTAGTGTGTGTGGCCTCTACGTGCCTGTATGACCTCCCTACAACGCCTGGGCATGCTTTTGATGAGGTGGCGGATGGTCTCCTGAGGGATCTCCTCCCAGACCTGGACTAAAGCATCCGCCAACTCCTGGACAGTCTGTGGTGCAACGTGGCGTTGGTGGATGGAGCGAGACATGATGTCCCAGATGTGCTCAATTGGATTCAGGTCTGGGGAACGGGCGGGCCAGTCCATAGCATCAATGCCTTCCTCTTGCAGGAACTGCTGACACACTCCAGCCACATGAGGTCTAGCATTGTCTTGCATTAGGAGGAACCCAGGGCCAACCGCACCAGCATATGGTCTCACAAGGGGTCTAAGGATCTCATCTCGGTACTTAATGGCAGTCAGGCTACCTCTGGCGAGCACATGTAGGGCTGTGCGGCCCACCAAAGAAATGCCACCCCACACCATGACTGACCCACCGCCAAACCGGTGCCGGAGGATGTTGCAGGCAGCAGAACGTTCTCCACAGCGTCTCCAGACTCTGTCACATGTGCTCAGTGTGAACCTGCTTTCATCTGTGAAGAGCACAGGGCACCAGTGGCGAATTTGCCAATCTTGGTGTTCTCTGGCAAATGCCAAATGTCCTGCACGGTGTTGGGCTGTAAGCACAACCCCCACCTGTGGACGTCGGGCCCTCATACCACCCTCATGGAGTCTGTTTCTGACCGTTTGAGCAGACACATGCACATTTGTGGCCTGCTGGAGGTCATTTTGCAGGGCTCTGGCAGTGTTCCTCCTGCTCCTCCTTGCACAAAGGCGGCGGTAGCAGTCCTGCTGCTGGGTTGTTGCCCTCCTACGGCCTCCTCCACATCTCCTGATGTACTGGCCTGTCTCCTGGTAGCGCCTCCATGCTCTGGACACTACGCTGACAGACACAGCAAACCTTCTTGCCACAGCTCGCATTGATGTGCCATCCTGGATGAGCTGCACTACCTGAGCCACTTGTGTGGGTTGTAGACTCCGTCTCATGCTACCACTAGAGTGAAAGCACCGCCAGCATTCAAAAGTGACCAAAACATCAGCCAGGAAGCATAGGAACTGAGAAGTGGTCTGTGGTCACCACCTGCAAAACCAGTCCTTTATTGGGGGTGTCTTGCTAATTGCCTATAATTTCCACCTGTTGTCTATTCCATTTGCACAACAGCATGTGAAATTTATTGTAAATCAGTGTTGCTTCCTAAGTGGACAGTTTGATTTCACAGAAGTGTGATTGCCATGGAGTTACATTGTGTTGTTTAAGTGTTCCCTTTATTTTTTTTAGCAGTGTATTTAATTTGTGGATCAATGACTTCTATTAACAGTAAACCATGATTATTTCCTGTCTCACCTGGTCGCTCTCTGTCCCTGCGTCCAATAGGCTCTGCTGGATGGCAAACTGCAGCAAGTTATCGTCCTCGTCTCTCATTGGCTCGCTGCGGCCCGGACCAAGCGTGGTGTAGTCCGGGGGTGGTTCGAATACGGTGGGGTCAACCTCGCAGTGAAAGGGAGGGGGGGCCTGCCCTGGGAGCAGATGGACAGGGAGATAATTTTCCACATAAATTTTTTAGAGCAACGTGCACCTTTCGGTAACATGATACCTCACCCATCCAGACTCCCAAACTACTGGAATCAATAGTTATTACTTCTAAACAAAATACATTCTAATAAGGCAACAATGTTGTTTGGTTTATTGTTTTAACAGTCACTGAGATTATATACACAACACTTCCCCCATGGCTATGCAAGGAATGATACAGCGCGTTAAAATGTTCATGTGGCACAGGACCACGTAGCACTACAAGGAGCTGCCCCTTTTGGACGAAAAACATCATTGCAACACTGCACTCCGTAGGGCCCGTCGCCGTAAGGTATAACTAGCCCTTTTGTGTGTGTGTGTGGTTACCAGCCTCGGGGTCCTCCTCAGGTGTGTGCAGAGTGACAGAGCTGACAGGCTCATCACAGCCACACAGGTTACTGAAGGTCACTCTGGTATTCAACACATGGAGCAGAGGGATCTCTGAGAGAGAGAGAGAATCTTCAAACTCTTGTCACTTTGTTTCAGCCTAAAATGTAAAGCGTGTGCTTTTTCTTCTGATACCACCTGCTCCTCTCCATTTCTTCTCTCTGGGACTCTGTTTCAGATCCTGCCTAGAAGGTAGGGGGCAGTTTGGGATTAAGCCTCACCTATTTTGACCGGGAAGCCGGGGGGCAGGCTCAGGGTGATGAAGTCACGTAGTTTGGCAAAATGGGAATTGGTGATGGCCATGAGGTCAATGATAGGTGTGACCTGCTTAGCCAATGACAGAGGGTGAGCCTCACTCAACCACAGATGGGCCTTAAACCTGGAGAGAGAGAGACTGGTGGTGATGTTGGGCTTCTCTGAGCTTGACTGTGTGTTATGGCAATCCTGGTTTTGTGTTGCCATGGCAACAACGGAGCACCTCTGGACTTTGCTGGTGAGCTCCACGGGGCGTCCGATGTCTCGTTCGTTGAGTTGGAACTCTGGGTCAAAGTATTCCTCAGCTGTGATGGCCGTGGGGTTATGGGGGCTGGCACACTGAGAAACATTACTCTGAGAGACATGGGGAGAGACAGATATGCACATCCATCAGTCAGCCCATCAAAGCATCTATCCACCACATACAATATGAGGTGGAAGTGTCTTTATAAAACTCACCCCATTATGAGCGGTATGCTGCTCAGCTATCCCCAGGAAGGACTGAAGAGGAGTCTTGGTGCCTGGGAGAAGAGGAGGGATAGAACCATGCTGTGCCTGTACGTACACTATGAACAAATTAAACATAAGTGTGTTCTGTGTGTGTGTGTGTGTGTGTGTGTGTGTGTGTGTATACCTTTGCTCTTTGACTTGTCCTGGTCCGACAGGTGCTCTGTTCTTGATCGAGTCACCAGCTCCACATTAGTGGCGCTGTATATCTGAAACAAACCAAAGGAAAAAAAAACATGAGTCAGAATCAAAAATGCCAAGAAACACTTTCTATTCAAAACATTTTTTAAGTCCAATGGGGTCTCTGGCTCACCTTTGCTTCGTAGCCACTGACTGCCTCACTCTTCTCAGAGCGCCAGCCCCAAATACCAGACTTGTTCCTGAGCAGCAAAGAGCAGGAGAGAAGAATTATAAGTCAGACCAGGTAGGTGAGTATGTTGTGTGTGAAGTAGCTACCTCTCAAAGGCGATGTTGCGTGTGTTGAGGTGTGTGGAGACGATAGGGGAGGTGAGTCTCTGGGCGGTGTTCTCCTGGGTGGGCAGCATGACAGCCAGGAGAGATGGGGCATCCCGCAGGGAGAGAGACAGAGGCTCTGTGTACACCACCTGCTTGTCATGGTCCACCTCCATCACCACAGCACCATTCTCTACAGACACAACATACACATTACTATGGAGACAACACACATTCACCATTCAACCGCTCTCTATGGATACCATATCACCAGTGGCATACCTTCGCCCTTAAAAATGTAGCTGCGACGGCCCTTGAGCCAGGTCATGTGCTCAAAGCCCAGTAGAGTGGTGTCCACCCGTAGACACGAGCCACTCTTCCACACTCGGTACACATCACTGGGACACACCTTGGAGACCAGGGGCACTGAGAGGTTGGGGGGGATCAACCACTGTAAACACTTCAGTGCATCACAGTGACAGTATAACTGGGAGCTGTTCATCTGTGTTGTGCTGAAACCGAACACTGTAAGGAGATATGAGTCACGCACAATCACACACTCACCCCAACTGGTGAACTCCCATTTCATCTCCACGTAAAAATCCTGGGCCTGAAAGAGGTGACACAGCATGGTGAGTTTCAGATATCTGATTGACAGGTGTGTTACCTGTGTGTGTTATATGGCTGAAGCGAAGACTGCAAAGTGTTACCTCACCCGTCTTAGCTTGCTGAGCAGTTCTGGGATGCCAGTCAGTCGCTATGTGGCTCGCTTGAAGTCTCTATACTGCAGCACCAGCTGACAAAGCTCAGGGTCCCCTGTGCTCACTGCCTCCTGCAACACTGGGCATAGACTCACACCATCAACCCACATACAGTGCCTATAGAAAGTCTACACTCCATGTAACTTTTTTCTCATTTTGTTGCGTTACAAAGTGGGATTGAAATAGATTTAATTGTAATTTTTTGTCATTGACCTGAACAAAATACTCCATAATAACAAAGTGAAAATACATGTTACAAACTTTAACAAATTATTAAAAACATAAAATAATTTGTTGCATAAAAGTATTCACCTGCTTCGTTTAGCCAAGTTCAGAAGTAAAATTTGAAAACACACTCAGATGCAATAATGTAACAACATTGACAGCCAAGCGGTCTTCATCAGGGTATAATGACTAACACTGCGGGTCACTAGTTTATATAGTTTGAAAGCCCTTGCCCTCTTTGAACTTAACGTAGAGTTTGATCTGAAGCCATTCTTGTGATTGTGTTTTCGCTCTCCATTGTAAATAATGTTTGTTGGCCTACATAGCTGGATTGTATCTATGATCATATGCAATCCATTCATGCTTTTTTATATGTATATGGAAAGTATTCAGACCCCTTGACTTTTTCCACATTTTGTTACCTTACAGCCTTATTCTAAAAAAATATATATATATATTTTTTTTTAGCATCCTCAGCAATCTACACACCCCATAATGACGAAGCGAAAACAGCTCTTTAGAAACGTTAGCAAATTTATAAAAATAAAAAACAGAAATACCTTATTTACATAAGTATTCAGACCCTTTGCTATGAGACTCGAAATTGAGCTCAGGTGCATCCTGTTTCCATTGATCATCCTTGAGATGTTTCTACAACTACAACCAATTTGGAAAGGAACACACCTGTCTATATAAGGTCCCACAGTTGACAGTGCAAGTCAGAGCAAAAACCAAGCCATGAGGACGAAGGAATTGTCCGTAGAGTTCTGAGACAGAATTGTGTTGAGGCACAGATCTGAGGAACGGTACCAAAACATTTCTGCAGCATTGAAGGTCCCCAAGAACACAGTGGCCTCCATCATTCTTAAATGGAAGAAGTTTGGTACCACCTAGATTCTTCCTAGAGCTGGCCGCCTGGCCAAACTGAGCAATCGGGAGAGAAGGGTCTTGGGTCAGGGAGGTGACCAAGAACCTGATGGTCACTCTGACAGAGCTCCAGAGTTCCTCTGTGGAGATGGGAGAACCTTCCAGAAGGACAACCATCTCTGCAGCACTCCACCAATCAGGCCTTTATGGTAGAGTGACCAGACGGATGCCACTCCTCAGTAAAAGGCACATGACAGCCCGCTTGGAGACTCTCAGACTATGACAAAAGATTCTCTGGTCTGATGAAACCAAGATTGAACTATTTAGCCTGAATGCCAAGCATCACGTCTGGAAGAAACCTGGCACCATCCTTACGGTGAAGCATGGTGGTGGCAGCGTCATGCTGTGGGGATGTTTTTCAGAGGCAAGGACTGGGAGACTAGTCATGATTGAGGGAAAGATGAACGGAGCAAAGTACAGAGTGATCCCTGATGAAAACCTGCTCCAGAGCGCATATGGACCTCAGACTGGGGCGAAGGTTCACATTCCAACAGGACAACGACCCTAAGCACACAGCCAAGACAACACAGGTGTGGCTTCGGGACAAGTCTCTGAATGTCTTTGAGTGGCCCAGCCAGAGCCTGGACTTGAACCCGATCAAACATCTCTGGAGAGACCTGAAAATAGCTGCGCAGGGACGCTCCACATCCAACTGACAGAGCTTGAGAGGATCTGCAGAGAAGAATAGGAGAAACTCCCCAGCTTTATCATTATGGGGTATTGTGTGTAGATTGATGAGGGGAAAAAATAATTTTATAAATGTTATAATACGGCTGTAATGTAACAAAATGTGGAAAAAGTGAAGGGGTATGAATACTTTCAGAATGTAGTATATTAGTATTTTATTCTTCATTAATTTGTACATTTAAAATGTATTCCACTGAGTATTCTCAGTGGAATACAAAAAAAATATATATATATATATATTCTGTGTAGGAAGATCGTTGACAAGAAAATGACAAATGCATTTGAATCCTACTTTAACTCAACAAAATTGTAAAAGTTCAAGGGTGTGTAGACTTTGTATAGGCACTGTATCCTTTAAAAAAAAAAAGTATAGCAATAGAATGGCCCTGCTGTTTTAGGAAACAGGTGATTTGTATTCTTCTCATATGTTCCCCTGTGTATCCACTCACCAGTCCAGCTCTGCGCGTTGCAGTGCGTCGGGTCTGCAGAGTGTCTGAGCAGCACACGCGTTGATTCCAGGTGGCCCAGACACACAGCCAGCTCTAGCGGGGTGCGCCCCCGCTGGTCCAAGCTATCCACATTCTCCTGTGTGAGAACAGCACTGGTGGGTCATGAAAGCTGGGGGGGCGCGCCTTCTGAACTGTGCGGCGGACGCAAACTGTCAAACTCAAAACAGTTAAAAAGAGAGAAACTGATGTTGCTACCCCAGGTTGACCTACCTCGTTTTTCTGTAGTTGCCGTTCAAGCTCAAGGTATTGGTTGTTCCAAACCAGAAAATGAAAAGGAAACGCCTCTTGAGCCATTGTTTATCAAATGTAGCTAGCAACTTGCTATACAGCTTTCACCATTTCTCTTCCAGCAGCAGCAAAATTGTTATTTCCCTCAAACGTGGGAGTACGAGTGCACAAAAAAAAATTCGCGCAAGGTAGCAAGATTCTACTTTATAAAACTGGTCATTAGTTAGCTAAGGAATAAACTAGGCTAGGAGTATGTGCCGAATAAAATACATGGCTGGCTAGCTAGCCCTCGTCTACCCACATTAGCCAGGTAAGCTAGCTAACTGGCTAAGATGAACATATGACATCACTTATTTTCCATTCTATCATGCTGGTTAACTAGCTGGCTAACATTGTACGTCTGACCATGTCCATTTCTAGTCTAGCAATGCCGTTTGCCTGTAACAAACGACGGAATCAAGTCCTGCTGATGTGCTAACTAGCAAACAACTCCCAATCTTCAACCACTCGCTTTCGCGATGGTTTTTTTTCTGATCCTGTGCGGTCAAAATAATAGACCGAGATACGGCCTATTTCGAATACACATCCAGGACACTAGAGTATATGATACGTCCGATGATAGCGATGGCAATTCGAATGCTGTCAATGTACCTTGTCGGTGTTCACATTCCAATCACCAACATTCAGGGAACAAGAAACCCCTATTACAGACCGGTATTCTTAACAAAAACAGACTGCAACAGCTGAGACAATATGCACACTCCAGTTTGCATTGTTATATATTTTTCACGTCATTTTCAGCGTCGCTTTAGTTCCAGGTTATTGCTAGCAGCTGGAGTGGGGGAGGAAGGAAAGGCGCGTGATGCTTGTTGCCATACAATCATTGAAGGGTACACAACTGTTCTATCCCCACTTCTAAACACCAGATGCCAATTAGAGTTGCATGGTGAGAATCTCCAGCTGATGACCATGGGCTCTTTGCACACAATAAAAAAAATGGGGATTACATGTACACAGCAAATCGTCTGACACCATAACAAAAGCCTGCACACTCTAGATAACATCTCCAGGACAGATTTGTAAAACACTGGGCTAAGTACCATATTACTTAAGTATTCTTCATCAATTAACCCATTGTGAAATGAGGATCTGCAGTCTGCACATGTCGTCCCGTTCTCTCTCTCTCAATCTCAGCACACAGCATTTTACATTTTAGTCATTTAGCAGACGCTCTTATCCAGAGCGATTTACAGTTAAGTGAGTGCATACATTCTCATACAGGCCCCCCGTGGGAAACGAACCCACAACCCTGGCGTTGCAAGCGCCATGCTATACCAACTGAGCTACAGCAGCCAAACCACCCAAAAATCACATACATCTGGCACAGTTAACCTTTAAATTGTCTATTTTAAATTTATTTAAAACAAAAAAAACAAGTGAAAAGGTTTCTGAAAATAATTACAATGCTACAGGATTTTTTTGTCATCTAAGAGGGAAACACAAAAGTATATATTTATAATATATTTATATTGGGTTTTTAGATGTGGCAGGGTGGGAAGGAAAGAAGGATCCCTCAGAAGCACTAGAACAAAGGGTAACAGGACAGAATAATGAGAGCAAATAATACATTTATACACGGAGTCTTAACAAGTAAAAACTAAACTGAAAAGGGAACTCACATTTTATCCATGGGAAACAGAAAATGCATCAAAGTGGGGTGAGGGGTATTTCCTAGAATAGAGACTTGTCATAGATTCATATTTGTACAAAACAGAGTTTTGGGAGTGATAGCACCTGAATTCTAACAGTTGTTTGAGAACGCGCCATTTACCATGTCTCCGCCCCTTCCACCCCATTTCATTCATACCCCGCCCTTATTTGGGAGTGGTCTCATCACCATGTTGATTGCCCTCTCGCACCGTCCCGAATCCCTCGTCTGCGCCCCTCTGTCTCAGGGTGGGGAAACCTGACCACAGTACACCTGGAGGAGTTAGTTAGTCCACAGCCAACACCTTTGGGTAAAGACAGCCTTGTCATAAAGCACTTAGAACTCCCAGGGTGAAGAGAAGAACCCCATCTGGGATGACCGACCCCCCCACAATACCCTGCCACCCTCACAAGAACCCCCCTAACCTCTCCCCTCCACATATCATGGAGTCCACTTCCCATCCCCAGCTTCATCACGCAGCGTAGGCGCCTAAACTCAAACTCCTGAGTCTGTCGTCTGGTTTAGTAAAAAAAATATATATACACAACATGGAAAGAAACCCTACTCCCACTAAGTGTGCAGTAACTAAGCACTTCCCATTCCTGCTCCCTTCAGAGACAGCAGGTGTTTTTAAGCCTCCCTGTCCTACAGTCTTTTCTCTGTCACACAGATGTCCCCAACCTCTCCCTGTATCCCCTGTCCCAGACAGAGGAGGCGGCCTCTAGGATATCCTCTGGATCAGTTTGTCTTCAGATAGGCAGTAGACGGTGTTGACAGACAGCTCAGAGATGAAGGCCTCGCAGGCTTTGCGGGACACACTCTTGCATTCCCGCAGGTCCAGCAGGGAGAGGCAGGAGAGCCGGCGGAGGTACCGCAGACATGCGTCTGTCAGCTTACTGCAGCCTGGGAGATAGAGACCGGGGTTCAACAACAACAACTCAATATCAAGTACTAGTCACAATCCTGTATGTGTGCACACTGCTCCAAGTCTCAGCTGTGGCTGTGTACGTGTGAGTCCAAGTCTTACCCCCTAGGTTGAGCTCAGTGAGTGTGTTGCGTGTGGAGGAGCCCACGGCAGTGAGCAGGTTGATGGACTGGTCAGTGAGGCCTCCACAGTGGGACAGGTCTAGACGGGTCAGCAGAGGCATGTGTCTGATCACTAGCCTCAGAGTAGAGTCACTGATCTCCAGCCCCGCCAGACGGAAAGACTGCATGTTCCTGAGCTGACTGCGGTTATCACAACCTAGAGTGAGAGGGGTTAGGGGTGGACGGGAATTAGGGCAGGAAGAGGGAGGGAGAGGCAGAGGAGAAAGAGAGGTGACAGGAGGAAGGCGGTGGAAGAGAGAAAAAATAAGAAAATATCTGTCTGCTGCGGACTTTAGCAGGGTACATCTAATTAATTTAGTATGACAAGGGATTTATCCAAATAGTATTTAACTCAAAACAGAAAACGTTGGAGGAAAGGGGGTGCGGTCTCACCTGGGGGGTTGAGTAGGTCCCTGACCTGTCCGTCTTTGATCCCGTCGGCCCACCGCAAGTCCAGCGTGCGCAGGAGGGGGCAGCTGGGCGAGCTCAGAGCCGAAATGGAAGACCAGGAACAGCCAGACAACATGAGATCCTTCAACCCTGAGCCAGAGAGAATAAGTTACATCTCCAGAGTGAGTAGTAGTCCAAGTGTGTGAGGACATGTTTGGTGGCCTGTGTGTGTGTTATGTGTACCTGGCAGGCGGTTGATGAGCCAGGTGAGTTGTTTCTTGGAGATGGAGGTCCAGGAGAGGTCCAAGGTGACTGGCTGGCGTTTGATGATGCCTGACAGAGCCTGAGGACTGATGGATTTAGATACGCTCAGATCGACCTGCATCCACAGCCTCTTATCCAAGCTCCTATGACAGAACATACACGTTTTAATTGGTTATCGAGCTCCTATACACTCTTGCGCATGCAGACACATTCATAGTGTGTGTGTGTGTGTGTGTATAAAATGCATTCTAAATTGTTTTTGTCTCTTACCATTTGTGCCAGTTCTTGCAGACGGCCATGCAGACACAGAGCTCAGCGCGAGTCAGGTAACGGAAGACAGATACCCACACCTCCCTCTCACAGCCTGGCTCACTCCCTCCATTCGCCACCTCCCTCTCCCCATCCTGTAAAGCCGACAGAGGGAGGAGTAGAGGAGGAACAGGGAGGAGGAGGAAGCGCTGTTGTTTGTTCTCTCTGGTCTGCCCGGCCTCGTTCTCCTCTGGTCTGGATGGGAGCCGCGTGTGTGTGTGTGTCTGTCGGACCGCGAGGGTGCAGCGTAGGGGTCTGGGGCGTGGGTCCTGAGGGGTGGTCGGGCCAGGTTCTTGCGTTGGATGTAACTCTGGCCGGGAGGGGCAGGCCGGGGGGCGACTGCAGCCTCCAGTTTGGGGACGATGGCCCCCGGGTCACGTTTGGCCCTCGACGGCTGTAGGGTCACCGTGAGATACGAGCCCTTCATGAGGTCGTCGCTAAGGTCCGACACTACGAGGACAGGTGGCTCCGTCTGCGCCTGTCCTCCTTCCCTCCCGTCTTCATCCATCTCTTCTCCGTTTTGGTTGGACTCCTCACTCTGCTCCTCTTCATCTTCTTTGGCTGCTCCTCTTCCTCGTCTCTGTGGTTGGTTCTCTTTGTTCCGTCTGGCCCGCAGGCCGTTCTCCCTCTCCTCATCACTACTACTACTACTGCTGCTGCTACTACTGCTACTGCTATCACTCTCTTCCTCTGCTCCTCCGTGTCTCTGTCCTCTTCTTCCTCTCCCTGCTGCTCCTCCTCTGAGCCGTACTCCTCTCCCTCGCTCCCTGTGCCCCTCTCCCCTGCCTGCGGGGGCCAGGCTGAGGGAGGGTTGAGGGGGCTGGAGGCACGCCCCTGTAGGGGAGTGATAGGGGGAGCCTCTGAAGGACCCACGGCCCCGGGACAGTCTGCCAACAGGGGAGTGGAGGTGAGAGGACACCCCTCTCTGGAGGTGGGTTAGACCCTGGGAGCTCAGGAGCTTAGGAGAACGCTCCAGAGACAACGTCTGCTTCTGTAGAGAGGATAATGGGTAAATGGGTTAAACAATGCTTTGGTTTGAATAATCATGCACTGGTTTAGAGAGATAGTGTGCTTTTAAATAGGACTGCATGTGCTTACCGATTGTAAGATTTTGCTGCGCTCCAGTTTAATCTGCAACATAAAAGAGTAGGAAGAGATTTAAGAGGAGATTCCTTGGTGGTAAGGAATGATTGTACGATGGATGTAGAGCTTTAACTCCGACCGCTAACCAAAATCAAAAAGCACTCTAGCCATCCCCCCTCTCTCTCTATGTCTCTCACCCTCTTCCTGAGTCGTAGCTCCAGTGCTCCGGCTCTCTTCCTGTTCTGTTGTTGCTGCAGTAACAACCGCTGAGAGGGAGGCGGCACTCTCCGCTGGGACAGAGAGGACGTCAGGCGGGGTCTGCCGCGTCGCCCCTTCCTCACCCCATCGCCTGCCTCCCCATCTCCTATCCCCTCCCGGTGGGCATGCGTCGACGGCCTCGACGTAGAGAGAGAACCTGTAGACACCATACTGTCCTCATCACTGCTGGACGACTGAGACCGAGAGGGAGAGCGAGACAGAGGGCATCATCATTATCACAAAACAGGTATCAATAGAGTAGATGGGTATTGTCTTATACGGACAGAGAGGAATAGAGAGAGACTGACAGAGAGAGGGACACAGAGAGACAGCGAGAGGAAGAGTAATGATGGGGTACCTCTGATGAGGAGCCTTCTTCGCCCTGGTAACATTTGGGACACTCCCAGCAGCTGGGCAGGTCCTTGTTGATCCTGCCCTCCCCAGGAACCTGAGAGAGAATTAACAACAGTTATAACACCTGCCATACACAAAGAGGATTGTTATAAACAGCTATAACACCTCTATCATCCGTAAGGGCCATTTGAGTTGTGTGGGATGCATACATTGTAAAGAAAATATGTATTGGAAGTATATTTTGCACAAGAGGGATTTTCAGTGCAGATTGTAGGACAGGTATACATGTATCTGTTAGTGCAAGGCCTGGTCACCTTGATGCAGTCGGGGTGGGCGATCTGAGCACAGCTGGAGCATTCCATGAGGGTTGTGGAGGAGGGGCTTGCGTCTGAACACTCCTGCTTCCCCTGGCCCCCTCCACACAGAGCACACACCGCTGAGTTAGGCAGGCAAGGCTGGAGACGGGGAGAGACAAGGGTCAACATCCTATACACACACACACACACACAACTCATTCAGCGAGATATACACACCTCGCTCTCTCTCTCTGGGTGTGAAGGTACTGCACTGGCTACTCACAGTGAGACACTGGCGCATCATGCAGCCCTTCTTCATGCGCCCGGGTCCTCCGAACCTCCTCATGTCTTTGCAGAAGTTGCATTCGCCACACTCCTTCCTCTGGCAGGCTGCACAGTGTTTGCAGCGCACGCGCCGCCTTCTCAGAGCTGAGATAGAGGCGGGCTTGGCAGGGCGCGAGACCACGGCCTTGTGGGGCATGGCGAGATGAGGACGGTACACCACTGAGGGGGGAGGGGGCTGGTACCACGAGGGCTGGGGAGGGGGGAGAGGAGACAGGAAAGTTATGTTAGGTGGATGTTTGAATGTGTGTATGAGAGGCATGTGCTCTCTGGCTCACCCTCTTGGGCCACTTGACGATGGGCTTTCCAGTGTAAGACAGCTTGGGGTCGTCGTTGCAGTGTTCCTCCAGAAGAGCCTGAACACAGCAGAACAGAAGCCTTGTCAGGGTCATGTCAAGACTATTGACTGAGCAGATTACAAATAGATACAGACAGCTGGATGCTAATAGGTACCCTTCCAATATCTACAGTAGCATACCAGTTAGAATTAAGCTATTGGTCATGCACTGGAAGTTGTATGCTAGTGTGGATATTGAAACGTAGCCATAGACTGATGTATATAGCTAGTGCAGCCATAGACTGGTCCTGTGTATCTCAATTGGTAGAGCATGGCTCTTGCGACCTCAGGATTGTGGGTTCAATTCCTGCTGGGGCCAACCATACAATGTATGCATGCACTACTGTAAGTGGGTTTAAATGAAAGCATCCGCTAAATAATATATTATTATTATATTCTAGACTGGTGTATTGTACCCACCCGTATGTCGTGGAGCAGGGCGGGGGCGTTGCGGATGCCTGCGGGGACACACTTTTTGTGGGCCGGCAGCTCCTCCAGCTTCCCCAGCAGGTTCCACAGCCCCTCCAGCTCCAGGGGGGTCAGGTTTACCCTCACCCCCAGCTTAGTGGCACCAGGAGGGGGGAAGGAATCATCATCAGACTCTTCCATTTTGACCTTTGTCTCACTTTCCTCCTTTTCTTCCTCACCATCGTCTCCCTCTTTCTTTTTCTCCGTGCCGTTTTTCACGTGGCCGTTGAGTTTGTTCTCAGAGTCTTCACGGGTCAGACCTGACAGAGGGATAAACTCAGAGGAATTAAAACGGAGAGAAAAGAGAAGGAGGGAAACAAATGAGACAGAAAATATTAAACTGTCTCACCGACGCCGAGAGAGTGCTTCTGGAACTCAGGGGTGAGGTGGGAGGTGTTGGTCAGGCAGTAGAGGTATCTTTCCAACACGTACCAGCACATCTCATAGTAGAAGGGGTATCGGAACTTAGCCGGGACCTGTAGAGGGGACAAGGATAGCAGTACACATTAGATATTGAAAGTCAACACAATTCCTTTTTCCCCTAATCAAGTAGTACTCATCCAAACTCATGGATCTGCAGTACAGTAATAATAATAATAATATGCCATTTAGCAGACGCTTTTATCCAAAGCGACTTACAGTCATGCGTGCATACATTTTTGTGTATGGGTGGTCCCGGGGATCAAACCCACTACCTTGGCGTTACAAGCGCCGTGCTCTACCAGCTGAGCTACAGAGGACCACACAGTAGTGTGTTACAGTACGGTACAGTAGTGTGTTAGTGTGGTACAGTAGTGTGTTACGGTACAGTAGTGTGTTAGTGTGGTACAGTAGTGTGTTACAGTACGGTACAGTAGTGTGTTAGTGTGGTACAGTAGTGTGTTAGTGTGGTACAGTAGTGTGTTAGTGTGGTACAGTAGTGTGTTACGGTACAATAGTGTGTTACGGTACAGTAGTGTGTTACAGTACGGTACAGTAGTGTGTTACAGTACAGTAGTGTGCTAGTGTGGTACAGTAGTGTGCTAGTGTGGTACAGTAGTGTGTTAGTGTGGTACAGTAGTGTGTTACAGTACAGTAGTGTGCTAGTGTGGTACAGTAGTGTGTTACAGTACGGTACAGTAGTGTGTTACAGTAGTGTGTTACAGTACAGTACAGTAGTGTGGTACAGTAGTGTGTTACAGTACGGTACAGTAGTGTGGTACAGTACGGTAGTGTGTTACAGTGTTGCAGTACAGTAGTGCATTATAGTACAGTAGTGTGTTACAGTACGGTACAGTACTGTGTTACAGTACGGTAGTGTGTTACAGTGTTGCAGTACAGTAGTGTGTTACTGTGGTACAGTAGTGCATTACAGTACGGTACAGTAGTGTGTTACAGTAGTGTGTTACAGTACGGTAGTGTGTTACAGTGTTGCAGTACAGTAGTGCATTATAGTACAGTAGTGTGTTACAGTACGGTACAGTACTGTGTTACAGTACAGTAGTGTGTTACAGTGTTGCAGTACAGTAGTGTGTTACTGTGGTACAGTAGTGCATTACAGTACGGTACAGTAGTGTGTTACGGTACAGTAGTGTGTTACATTGTGCAGTAGTGTGTTACATTGTGCAGTAGTGTGCTACAGTGTACAGTAGGGTACGGTACTCACTCGTGTGCGGTCCTCAATATTGTAGATGTTGAGCTGCATGGGGATGTTGAAGCTGTGGAGGAAGTTTCCCCCAAACACCAGTGTGTCCTCAGGGGTGTACACAGCATGGATCCAGCCTAGACATCAACAGTTGGGGAGGTTAGATTATGTTTGTATGTGTGTGTCCGGGTGTATGTGTGTGGGTACGTCTCAGTGTGTGTGTGTGTACGTACCGGAGGGGATCATGAAGGTGTATCCCTGCTTCAGTTCTATCCTCTGACAGTCCTGAGCCTTGTCCCCCAGGAAAATGTCTCCCTGTTTCCCTGACAACACCCAGTTCTCATACAGCTCCAAGTTCTGGGGTGTGGGCGGGATCAGCCAGAACACCTACAGGAGGTCAGAGGTCAGGGTTGAAAAGTGGGATAGATAGACAGAGAGATACAATAAAATATGAAATTGGCATATGTCCGAAACCTTCATAACTCTAGAATGTGCTGATAATGGCAGCCATCTTGGTCAGGGATAAATTATGTTCCTATTGAATTCTGTGGCGATTTAAACGTGACACATCAAGGCTCTAGTTCTCCTTGATGTCGTCTCACCTTGCCCCCCCGCAGGATGTGGTACCAGACTGACGTACCACCAAAGTCAACGTGGAAGTCTGTGAAGCAGCCCTGGACACTCATCAGACAGTACCTGAAAGAGAGAGATAGCGAGAGAGAGAAAAGAGGGAAGATAATACATCTTTACATCCAACATCAACCAGCATTGAAACAATGTAATAAAGACATTCTATTCAATCAACTCACGCTTCCACCCACAAACACTGCATGGGGTAAAAGAAAATCGGTGTGGTTGAGTACATGAGGAATGAAGGCCATGTAAATGTGCAGGTGTTGGACTCACTTCTGCACTTTGGGATACTGCATTTCTATGATGGAGTTGGTTGAGTCTCTCTGTCTTTCCTTTAGGTGCCTTGGCCACATGTTGTCCACCCAGTCTATCAAATCCACCTGGGGAGAAAAGGTCAGTAGGGACATACATCACTGACTGTCCAGAGCTCTGTGGAAGTGATAGCCCAGCGTTTACAATGGTCAGACTCCCTAGCTTGCCATGTGATAGTTTGGTGTTATATGTGTGTGTATCTTTCAAGGTGAGGTGTCTGACGAGGTTCTGGTTTGTGTGTGTCTTACCGAGGCGGGTCGTTTCACCAGGTTCTCCAGCTTGGTGTGACTGAACTCCAGGCTGATGACATTATAGAGCTTATCTCGCTCCGAGGGCGGGGTCTCGTAGTACCGCCGCCATTGGGCCATGGACATCTCGATGCCCTTCTGAGTGGTCACATCCATAACGTCAACCATCCTCCGACTGCCTATGAGAGAGGGGGACAGGCAAAGGGCAGGGAGAATTGTTCACAGGGGCTGTAGCACTGTTAAATCAGTTGAAATCAGGAACTGAGTTCATAGTGTTCATAGTTTGGGCCTTACCTACGAACAGCTTGACATCACTCACACTGAAATCAGAGTCTGGCATTCTGAAAGAATGAGAGCGAGAGAGAGCAAAAGAGAGAGAGACTATTAAATAAATTTGGAGAATCAGAGAGTCAACCAACTGTTATATTTCTATCCCTCCACAGATATGCAGTGAGGAAGGTCGGCTAGATAATTAGAAAGAAGCGTGACCTACTCTAAGCCGAGACCGTCTTTTTTCTCAAAGACGATAGGGTCTCTCAGCCCCTCCCTCTGGATGTACTCGAATGTGAAGTCTGCAGAGAAACAGACAGAAACACGTTATAGACAATGCAGGGTAGGCACACCAAGAGTAATCAAAAAAAATAATAGAACACACCATAATTAGGGCCATGATTTTTGCCAGATTAAAAAACGAACACTTTTTCCAGGTCAAGATCATCATATCATAGGAGAAACATGGTTAATGCCTCTAAGGGATATCACAGTGTGGTTTGACCCCTGACCTTTTCCATCCATGTGTTTAATCAGGTAGGAGTTGAACCTGTCACTCTGCAGCTTCTCATCCAGGTCAAACGTCCTCTTCCCCTCAATCTCATCGTCCGAGATACCGTCATCCTGGTAGCGCCGCCGCGTCCCCGTACGCTAGTGACACAAGGCAGAAACTCAACTTATTGTATCACTTTGAATGAGCTTTCTGCTAAGACCATGCATATTTAACAGTATTGCTTCAGTCCCTCTCCTTGCCCCAACCTTGGCTCGAATTAGGGACCCTTTGAACACGTCGATAACTTCCACCAAAGAAGCATCAATACCAATTGACCACAAAAGCCTTGCAGAGCAAGGAAACAACCACTTCCAGTTGGAAACAACCAGTTGGATTTTAGACACAATTTTAGAGGCCCCCATCTTGGCGGTGTAGAGAAATGTTTTAATATTTAAGCCAATTTCCTGCAATTCTACAAATTTCTCCATGGAGCTGAGAGAAATTGTTTCTGTTTTAAAGCCAATTTCCTGCAATTTTACACATTTTGCCATAGAGCTCAGAGAAAATGTTGCAGTTTTTAAGCTAATATCCTGCAATGGAGCTGAGAGAATGTAGCAGTTTTAAAGCTAATTTCCTGCAATTCTATGTATTTTGCCATGGCTAATGCAGTGTTATTTTGCTCAAACATAATAACAAAAACAATACTGCTAAATTAATTGTTTTGGGAAGTTTCGATTCTCCCCGACTGTCTAGCTTTTATTTAGGTGATTGTTTGTTTCTCAAAGATAATATTATTTAAAAAATAAAATCCCTGATATGTTGATAACGTCGATGCTGCTTTCCACTGTGCTACTTAATATACATCCAGAAACGTTCTATAATTACACTATTCGTTTGTGTATCTTGCTGTCTCCAAACAGCTAGTTTGTCTTTCTTAGGAAGTTGTGCCTAAAATAAATTGTGTAAGCCGCTAATGCTAAATAAATGTACTGAGTCAGAGCAAACATAGCTAGCTAATACAGCCTGATACCAGTGCTGGTGTAGCCTATATCAGCATATTGTTTGTGCAACAGTATCTTCTATATCAGAGCGGAATAGGTGAAGCATGAATTTGTTAACTACATGAAGAGAAAACATTTAATGTAGCCAAAGATTATGGGAAACACTGAGCAGCACTTTGGTTCCTACCCTGTCACAATAACACACCCATAGTGATCCTGATAGTATTCTAATTCCTAATCATATAAACGCCTCCCTAGCATTTTCATTTGTTGTCAAACAACGCTGTATTCACAGTCCCTCCTATAGCTCAGTTGGTAGAGCATGGCGCTTGCAACGCCAGGGTTTTGGGTTCGATTCCCACGGGGGGCCAGTATGAAAAATGTATGCACTCACTAACTGTAAGTCGCTCTGGATAAGAGCGTCTGCTAAATTACTAAAATGTATTACATTCTAACTATAGAATTAGAATAATCATTATATTTCCATGATTTCAACAGTTTATATTTGGTTAAAAATAAGGCCTAGATTTTTTTTGCCCATATCGTGCAGCCCTACGTGGCAGTGTGGAAATGACCTCAAATGAGATCAACTTTTGGTTGAAGTTTGATTGAACAGCATAAAACAATCAGAATGGAGAAAGCCCCATTGAAATCACTTACAATGTATGTGTTGCCAGCCTAGGGTCATGCACAACTCCAAGCAAATTTAGAACTTGTATAATTCAAAAACATAAAATAACATCAAAAATGTTAAACATATTGTGATATTTCATAACAGAAAGATTTGCGGATCAGTCATTCGGTCACTTAATGGTCCGTATGGGCATCCCAGAAGGAGGGGCTTATCCTACTACAACCCCATCCCCCCTCTGCTCTCATAGTTTGGCTAGACAGATGGATCCAGCACAACAACCCCCTGCCCCATTCACCCCCACCCTATTCCACAAAAACCCTGCCTGCTCTTATCCCTACTCAAAACAACACCTCGCATGCTGTTTCCTACTCACCATTCTCATATCTTGATTTAACCACAGTTTCAAAGAAGAAAACATTCCATTATTATCTATAATTCTGTGGATCATTTTTCATGACAGCAGAGAAAACAAAATCACACCCCTTAGAAAAGCCTAATGGTTCTACAAAGAACAGCTGTGTCTGTGGGTTGTCTTTTGCTCTTGGGGTTTTATGATGGGTATCTGTATAAGCACTTTGTGACAGTTGCTGATGTAAAAAGGGATTTATAAAATAAATTTGACTGAATGATGTCCTTTCCTCTAAATTTCTCACTGCATGAGAACAAAAAAGTTCAGCCTAACGCACACGAGTAAGCATTTTCAGGTCGGACAACACTAGCGAACTTGAACCTACATTGAACCCACTGACACACATCCAGTATATTGGCATGGCAACTGATCAGCAACACTGTAATCTATTGATTGAGCTCGTTACCGATGCAACAGTGGTTTTGATTAAGGAAACTATCATGTTGTTATTGTACACTTGCAAAAGGGTCCAACTTGGCCAACTCCAGAAGTATATTGGTTTAGTTAGCATGACTAAACGTATCTTGTAAAACTGTAACGTTAGTTACTTACCAAGCGCTTGCTGTAACGAGGGTTTTGGTCTTCCATAACCTAGGTATGCAATGAGACAGTTGAGAGAAATCACAACAATGTCACGAAAAGCAAAATTGAGCAGATTAAAAACAATTGGTAAAACCAGTTTTAGGAAAATTAAGATAAAATACCGGTAAAAGTCCTGGCAATTGGATTGACAGTTTGCCAGATAATATAGGACCGATAAAGATTAGTTCAATAGTTGTCGTTGGCGACAAGATTATGGATGAATAGCGTATTGTACTTAATGCTAACTAGCTAGCTATCAGCTACTATAGTAATGAGTGCATTTGGCTACATAGCTAATATAGGCTAGCTAGGTAACCATAGGAACAACTGATAACGTTGATAGCCAACTAGTTAACTAATGTTATTCTTTTGCCAAAAAACAGCAAACATGTGAAAGCACAAATTAAACGTTTATTTGCAACAAAACCAGAGTTAAATGGTTGTGCTTGGCTTAATGGTACAGAACTGACCGACTTGCAGCAGACGCTGTGTTGTTAGCTGGCTAGCTAGAATGAACCGCTTAGCTGCAAGACTGTTGTTAGTTAGCAAGCTAAGGTTAACTAGCTAACTTCCGCGAAAACATTTGTGTCTGGTTGTCTCCTGTTCGAACGCAAGAGCCGTGTTAGTCAACATATCCAACACATTTTATTGTAGCTATAGAAGTTACATTTATGTGGGACATTTCTTTAAAATATGTACAATGGCTAGCGACTTCATTCACGGAACGTTAGCCCGCTAGCTTGCTACCGTTAGCTAGCCATGGAATTTACATTAGCTAGCTTACTATTGGGGAAATGCTATTATTTTCACCGTACCACTGAAATAACTCCTTGGGTTGTTGTGGTCTATACGTTGTCCTGTAGAACAGCTTTTATGGGTTATCCTTGAAGTTGGTATCCATTTTATATAATTTTAGCTGTGTAGTTTGTGATCCATGTTATTGTGCGATAAGTTAAAGCGATCGCTTCGGGACGCCATTTTCAGCTGAGCACAAAACACACAGGGCGGATTCTATTATGGTGAGCCGCGGGGCACCGGTCTATGGCCGGTGACGTCAACGGGCAAAAGCGGTGAGGGAGGAGCGCCCTCAAAACGAACAGTAATCTGCGCCGCTCGTCATGTTGTCAACAAGGCAGCATGGTGCTTCGTTCAGAAACATACATCATCTCTTTTCCATTAAATATATGGTAGAATTTTCATTGGGAAAGCAGATAAAGCGTTTTTATCAAAATCAATCACTTTCGCATGTGAAAACACAGAATCATACTCATTACTCCACGTGCTAATTACATCTATTTTGTTTTAAGCCGACTTCGCCGTGGGCTTTGAACGGGGCACCTGGCTCACGCCCGGGAGCAGCCTGGTTCCAAAACGAATGGAATCAACGTTCACCCGTGCTAAATACGTCTTCCCGGATTAATCGAATCCCCTCACACGCACACCCCTACCCAAAGGAGAAGGATCCGCCTCCAATTTACACTGACCTCCAATAGTAAATGGAGAAATCAACATACGAATGTTATGATTGGGCAAAAGTTATGCCATTCTGCGAAAAAGGGGGATTGTGGAGCCCACGAGGTGTGTAAGCCTATGGCAGTAGAGACCACTGACGTGAGCAAAACATCTATTAGCTGGGGTGTTCAAATGGGGTCAACAAGAGAGCCTATCATCAGACCAGTATGGGAACAATTTATGTACATAACCCAATATTAGCGGACTCAGACCATTGTGAGGCTGATGGTTCCCAGTAAAGACCGATTGATTTAAGGACAAGGGGACAATAGTTGTCCCATTCAACTAGTCTCTGAATAGCACCTGCCAACGGAAAAAATTATATTAATTCAGATGAGTACAAAGAGAGAATCAAAGACAAGAGGCGCACTAATACCATGCACACACAATATTTTATTACACAACAGGCTTTACTGGGCTGACCCACAACCACACTGAATGACTGAAACCGCTCATCACCGAAAATACCATCACTAACATTTCAGCACAATACATGACACAGCATACCGAAAAACAACATTGTATGACTGAGAACCACATACATACAATCTTACGAAACAAATACATTTACACATTTTAGTCATTTAGCAGAGGCTCTTATCCAGAGCGACTTACAGTTAGAGTGCATACATTTTTCATACTGGCCCCCCGTGGGAATTGAACCCACAACCCTGGCGTTGCAAGCGCCATGCTCTACCAACTGAGCTACACATTCAATTAAGGATTTTGACCTTGAAACACCGCTATAATTGTATTTATAACTTGGAATTTTGTGCTCAAATATAGTATCATATTTTATTATGCACATATTTCAGTCATTGGATCATTGATACATTTAACCAAATATACTGGTCAAAAGTTTGGACACATCTACTCATTCAAGGGTTTTTCTTTATTTTTACTATTTTCTACATTGTAGAATAATAGTGAAGACATCAAAACTATGAAATAACACATGGAATCATGCAGTAACCAAAAAAGTGTTAAACAAATCAAAATACATTTTATATCTGAGATTCTTCAAAGTAGCCACCCTTTGCCTTGATGACAGCTTTGCACACTCTTGGCATTCTCTCAACCAGCTTCATGAGGTAGTCACCTGGAATGCTTTTCCAAAAGTCTTGAAGGAGTTCCCACATATGCTGAGCACTTGTTGGCTGCTTTTCATTCACTCTGCGGTCCAAGTCATCCCAAGCCATCTCAATTGGGTTGAGGTCGGGTGATTGTGGAGGCCAGGTCATCTGATGCAGCACTCCATCACTCTCCTTCTTGGCCAAATAGCCCTTACACAGCCTGGAGGTGTGTTTTGGGTCATTGTCCTGTTGAAAAACAAATGATAGTCCCACTAAGCGCAAACCAGATGGGATGGCGTATAGCTGCAGAATGCTGTGGTAGCCATGCTGGTTAATTGTGCCTTGAATGAGTAGGTGTGTCCAAACATTGACTGGTACTGTATTTTGCATACAGATGATACTCCTACAACACCCTACTGTCATTGCCAGGGGGCGCCAATCTCAGTCCATAGGTCCACAAGATTTTCATAACAGTCCTAGGATGGAAAATCACACTGAACCTATGTCATCTGAATGAGAAATTGAAGCAGTGCGCTAAATAAATATACATTTAAAAAACAATGACATTTTCCAACACTTCAAACAGCAAGAGGACAGAGAGAACCAGGTCAGGGAGCACGGGAGGCTGAGATAAGTAGTCAAAGGTTATTTTTAAGTGTCTTTTTTTGTAATAAGGAAGAGACGGACACCAGTCAAAAAGGTTCTATGGGAAACTGAGGCCATTCTTCTGTTCATCTGAAAGAAAGGGAGAGGAAAAAGAGAATGAAAAAAAAGAGGAAACAGTTAGCCATTGATAATCAAGTGGGCCATAATCTAAATGGTGCTAGATGGATAACCGCGTGTGTGTCCTTTTTAAACCTCTACGAGAAAAAACTATACAAATAGGAAAACCCAACGATCCCGATAATGGCACAGCACAATGTGATCATCATCTTCTTCTGCATATTCAAAAGGACAGCAGAGCAAAATAAGTGAGAAATGAAAAAGGAGGACAGGAGCCCATCATAGGACAGTTAAAATGTAACAGAACATTTACTGGATTGCTGGTCCCTATTTGAATAAATCAAAAACACTTACAGTATTTAACTGATTAATTAAATACAACAACCTACAGTATATCATTTAGCAAATGTGAAATTTGATCATCAGTAATAGACATTATCTCTACAAAACGAGGTAGATAGGACTGTAAACATCTCATCAAAACTCCAATGGAAGCACAGACAGTAACCCATTTTCTGGCCATCCCATAGGAGGATGCCATACCAACAATGGAAGGACCATGTTAACAGGGGAGAGCAGGGTCAGAGGGGAGGGTGTGTGTCTGGGTCAGTATGGCCTGTTTGAGTGAGAGAGCGAGAGACATACAGTGGGGAAAAAAAGTATTTAGTCAGCCACCAATTGTGCATGTTCTCCCACTTAAAAAGATGAGAGAGGCCTGTAATTTTCATCATAGGTACACGTCAATTATGACAGACAAAATGAGAAAAAAAAATCCAGAAAATCACATTGTAGGATTTTTAATGAATTTATTTGCAAATTATGGTGGAAAATAAGTATTTGGTCAATAACAAAAGTTTCTCAATACTTTGTTATATACCCTTTGTTGGCAATGACACAGGTCAAACGTTTTCTGTAAGTCTTCACAAGGTTTTCACACACTGTTGCTGGTATTTTGGCCCATTCCTCCATGCAGATCTCCTCTAGAGCAGTGATGTTTTGGGGCTGTCGCTGGGCAACACGGACTTTCAACTCCCTCCAAAGATTTTCTATGGGGTTGAGATCTGGAGACTGGCTAGGCCACTCCAGGACCTTAAAATGCTTCTTACGAAGCCACTCCTTCGTTGCCCGGGCGGTGTGTTTGGGATCATTGTCATGCTGAAAGACCCAGCCACGTTTCATCTTCAATGCCCTTGCTGATGGAAGGAGGTTTTCACTCAAAATCTCACGATACATGGCCCCATTCATTCTTTCCTTTACACGGATCAGTCGTCCTGGTCCCTTTGCAGAAAAACAGCCCCAAAGCATGATGTTTCCACCCCCATGCTTCACAGTAGGTATGGTGTTCTTTGGATGCAACTCAGCATTCTTTGTCCTCCAAACACGACGAGTTGAGTTTTTACCAAAAAGTTCTATTTTGGTTTCATCTGACCATATGACATTCTCCTAATCCTCTTCTGGATCATCCAAATGCACTCTAGCAAACTTCAGACGGGCCTGGACATGTACTGGCTTAAGCAGGGGGACAGGTCTGGCACTGCAGGATTTGAGTCCCTGGCGGCGTAGTGTGTTACTGATGGTAGGCTTTGTTACTTTGGTCCCAGCTCTCTGCAGGTCATTCACTAGGTCCCCCCGTGTGGTTCTGGGATTCTTGCTCACCGTTCTTGTGATCATTTTGACCCCACGGGGTGAGATCTTGCGTGGAGCCCCAGATCGAGGGGGATTATCAGTGGTCTTGTATGTCTTCCATTTCCTAATAATTGCTCCCACAGTTGATTTCTTCAAACCAAGCTGCTTACCTATTGCAGATTCAGTCTTCCCAGCCTGGTGCAGGTCTACAATTTTGTTTCTGGTGTCCTTTGACAGCTCTTTGGTCTTGGCCATAGTGGAGTTTGGAGTGTGACTGTTTGAGGTTGTGGACAGGTGTCTTTTATACTGATAACAAGTTCAAAGAGGTGCCATTAATACAGGTAACGAGTGGAGGACAGAGGAGCCTCTTAAAGAAGAAGTTACAGGTCTGTGAGAGCCAGAAATCTTGCTTGTTTGTAGGTGACCAAATACTTATTTTCCATTTTTGTTTTTCTGGAAAGAAAAATCTCAATTTGTCTGTCATAGTTGACGTGTACCTATGATGAAAATTACAGGCCTCTCTCATCTTTTTAAGTGGGAGAACTTGCACAATTGGTGGCTGACTAAATACTTTTTTTCCCCACTGTACCTGCTCTTTACTTCAGTACCTTTAACCCAGACTCTAGGTCAGGGTTCACCAACTAGCAGCCCACTGGCCAAATTTGGCCAAAGTTCTCTGAGATAAAAACCATGTTTGGGCTTCTTGTGGTCAATTTGCAGTCTACAAATTATTTATAATTATGTTTTGGCCCCCTGACCATCCACTCAAGAAAAAAAAACGTCCCACGGCTAATTCTAGTTGAGAATCCCTGCTCTAGGTGCTGCAGTCATTGCCATAAGAGATCTCATTAGCCAATTTCTGTATTACAATACAGCAGATTGATAATTACTTATCACCATAAATACACATTTCTTCAGAGAATCACGTGCACTTACAGTCAAACAAGATTCACTCACACCAGCCAAACTAACACATATTCACACACTCATTCAGACGTGCAGATTTCAGCAGCATGAACCACAAAACAATTTAGGAAAACAAAGCAGTCTCAACCAAACCATTAAAAAACAAAATATTTTATTCCTTCATTAAAATCTCTGGAATCCACCATAATACTACAGTGAAGATTACATTTAAAATACATTTAAAAACTATTTAAAAAATGTTCAGCTTGAAATTTCCAGACCCTCAATGTCACATTTCATTTAGGGCCTCGTCAATGGCTACAGCGTCTGAGGTGTGGGGTGCATGAAATTAATTTGATTGGACAGATTGTAAAGGACGGCTTAAGAAGCAAATCAGATGTTAGACTAAGATCTCTCCCAAACGCTCAGAGGTAAGGTGTGCTTTAGGAGTAAAAAAAGAACACAATTCAAGTGGCATCAAACTTGCACAGAGTCATTGCCTTCACATAGACTGAAGTGAAATCCACTGGTGTCCCTCCTCAATACATTTTTTTATTTTTATTTTTTTTAGTCATTTTAGCAGACGCTCTTATCCAGAGCGACTTACAGTTAGTGAGTGCATACATTTTCATACTGACACTCCTCTCCCCATACAAGAATCATAGGTGAGTTAAACAACGCACCATTCCTCTGTGGGCTGGAGGAGGCTGTGGATGGCTACTTTTCAGCTTGGAGGGTCATAATGGCAAGACAATAAGGCAAGGGTGGTGGTAGGGGTACATTAAGTAGATGGAGGTTTTTGTTACGGGGAGAGGAGTGTCAGATTCCCTTCAGTGTGGATCAAGATCAATCAAATTATTGACATTATTGGATTAATAGAGAGCAGTTCAGAGAATGTCAATGAAATGTTGCATGGTGTCCATTTAGTTGTGTGTGAGGGTAAAGATTTCCACTTCTTCAGATTCCCTTTTTTTTTTAGCTTTATCAGATGCTAATAACCAGTCTCAGCTTTGGTCCCCTTGTTTCTCTCCCACCTGTTGCTCATCCTCTCAGCCACTTCAAGGGGGACACCAGCCTGCTCCAACTAGGAAGTCCCACTGGCTGGGCCTTTTTCAATTGGTACAGTAAGAGGGGGAGTGTCCAAGGGCAAGAGGAGGGATAGGTTGAGTCTTCATCCCCCTCTTTGGCTTTACAGCTGGAGGAGGGCAAGATTGAGTGATGATGAAGATGAATGAAGAGGGTGAGGTTGGTTGGGGGACGTGGTCCATCTATTACCCTACTGTCTGTGATAGGATGATGGCGAGGATGAGGAGAGCGAGCACAGCACAGACCACTGCTATAATTATTTTCTTCTACAGAGGGGGAGAAAAAAGGGGAGAACAAATACATCAGTATTTACGGTAACAAATGAGGTGGTGATAGACAGAGGTACAGAGGGAAATGAAGCTCTTAACATGATGGGCGGGAATATCATGCACTGTCAGCCATCATCAGGCCATTCTGACCAATGGAGGCTCTTTGATGCAGAGTATGCAGAACTTCTATTGGCCGATACGAGTCAGTGATTGACAGCAAATCAAGATCCCACCCATCTCAACACAGTGAATCATCATCACTGTTATAGTCAAACAGGACACACTACAGAGCCCAAAGACCCCAATGAGAAACTGAGACCCACATATACAATCCCACACAGCCCAAAGACACCATTGAGAGACTGACACACACACACACACACAGTGCCAATCAGTGACCAGGCCATAGAGCTAAATAATGCAATTTCTATGGACCCAGCCCTTACCATGGGCAACAAGTGCACTTGTGGTATGCTTAGCAGGAACTCCTGATAAGACATGCAGTACAAACAGACCAAGGAGCATGAACACCTACACATTTTAGTACCTTAACACACACACACACACACACACACACACACACACACACAGCCGAGGGCAAGGAAAATGTAAACCGTGGCCAAAGGTCTAGATCCCACTACACCCACTGTGACACTCCAGAGTTCCTCCAGCTTTACTCACCCTTTACACAACTCTTTTTTGCACACCTCTCATCTCTCCTTCAATCCCACCGACAACCCAATAATCAGAGCCACTATGGCCAGCACGATAATCAGAACTGCCACTATTATCACAATTTTCTGTGGGGAACAATTAAGTGTCTGCTATGAAGACCATTTATTGTGGACAACACCTTTATAACTAATTTGTAAAGGACAAAGCAACAACAGAAACACATCTCTCTTCAAACATTTTTTAACATCCTAAAACACACATGCATGCATGACTCAGAGCAAAATGTTACATAAAGTGACCATAAATCACTCTAAAACATGTAAAACTACAGTCAACCACCAAATCAAGTGATGGGGAACAACTGTAGTTACCGTTGAAAGGCAAAAATGCTGTACAGCTAGAAAGGACGCGGAAAATGAAGAGAGAGAAGGAGAAAGACCAGAGATGTGTGAGAGGTTGTGTGTGTGTGTGTGTGTCCTCTGTCGGGGGGTATTGGTCCATATCTGGAGGAGGGTTCAAGGTTTGGGATGGGGATTGTTGGGTACCAGGGTGCCAGGCCAATAGAGGCTGGTCAACGGAGCAGGAGGAGGGGCCAGGAGGTGGGACTTGGGCCTTTCTATAGCCACTGACACGACGGGCCTCCTGCTGAAACTTGGCGGCTTTCTTAGTGTCAGCTACCTCCCGCTCCACGAAGCCCACCGATTGGTCCATGTTGCTCTCAATCCTGTCAATCATTCCGCCCTGGCAGAGGGCGGGACATTGCAGGAAAGAGATATGCAGAGGAAGTGAGAGAAAGAGCAAGACGGGAGCAGAGAAAAGCAGAAAAGAAGACAAACGTAGATTGTGTTACAGTGGTGTGGGCGTGATCAACAGTGTGTGAGGGGAGTGTATACAGTCCTTAGAGTGTGTGGTATTTCAATGTGAAAGTATGTGAAAATGTTGATGAGTTTCAGAAATTGCTGCATACTGTACAGAAGCTTCCTAGAAACAGGGATTGTAGCACAGTAGATTTAGGTTAAGGTAGTTAGTAAATGGGTTTAGTTGATTCATATCCGGGTGTTGGTAGACAGTGTTGGATGGAGTGCAGTACCTTGCGTGCTTTGCTCTGGTACCTGATGGCTTTTTTGGTCTCAGTCTTAGCCACTGTTATATGATCCTGCGCTTTACACACTTGAGCTTCTATATTGTTTACAATGTCACCCTGAAAGATAAACACACACACACACAGTGAGTATACAGACATAGAAAAAAAAGCAACAATAAGAAAGCAGGAGTATCTATTCTACAGACTCCATGGTAACTGATTGCATCAAATACAAAAACGACACCACAAAGAGGAATATGTTAGGAAGAAGTAAGATGCTTACCTCGCACACGACTACCCCTCAGACAGCATAGGATAACCAACAAGATACATGTGGTTACATAGATTATATGTAGTTGTGGTGACTATACAGTATGGGGTTGTGTCGATTCCAATGGGGCTAAGTCAAATGTGACTCTTACTAAGAATGGAGACTCTTACTGAAGATGAATGAGTGATGGAGGGAGAGACAGATGGACAGAGGAGGAACGCAGAGCAGAAGGAGGGGGGAAGGGAGTGAACAGAATAGAAAGTTAGACCCAGTAGGGTTAAAATGTAGGATAGAGATCTGAAATAATAGATGGATGGATGACTGAATAGATGGATGAGACAGAGGAGGAGGAGTGTACCTGGCTCTCCACCAGCATGGCGATGTCTACGAACATGTCGTGCAGCTCTTTGATACTGCTCTCCAGACGCACAATGTCTTTGTGTCGCGCCTCGATCTCACTGAGAGCCTGCTTGGAGATCCCAGAGTCCATGATCTACAGAAGGGAGACGGTTAGTACACACACCCACACACACCCACACAAACTATTTCTTACCCCTGAAGTGAAGACGCCCGAGTTTCCACCCTCTAACATCTCTTCAAGCTCCTCGTCTGTCGTGGCTTTGCCAGCTGAGAAACAGAGGATAATTTTTGTTCATACATAAGGTTATGATCCACTTCTGTTTATATAAAACTGCGTGTAAGACTGTGTAACTCACTGATCTCTAGCTGTCTCTGGATGCGTCCTTTACTCCTCTCCCTGAAGTCCACCTGGGCCTCATTGTACTTAGTCATCACGTTCACAAACTTCCTGGACAGCACTGCATGCTGGGAGGACAGGAAACAGACAGGGCCACAAGCCATAACAATCCAATAGTTATTCATTTCTATGGTAACATTGACGGTTAGGCACAGGGTTACGTAAAGGGTTTGGGGAGAACTTTCGGAGGCTAACCTGTGATTTGCGTATCCGCATGTCAGCTGAAATCCTCTCCTCTTCCTCAGACTCCAGATTCCTCTCGATGGCTGAGAACCAATCAACATGATTCACCAATCAGTAGTCACCCATACCGGAATTAACCAATCAGCATTTAGTCTGTGTTGTATCGTGTGTGAGGTTCTCACTTTTGAGTTTGTTGCGGGCGTTGTTAGCCATCTTCTTGATGTCATTGGTGACAGCCTCCAAGTCATCCTGCGTTTCTGGAGGAAAAAACACAAATGAAAAGACACGCTGACAGTAACAGGTAGCAAAGACAGAGATGAGGAAGGGATGGGGGGGGGGGGGGGGGGGGGGGGGACAGAGAGAGTAGCAGAGGCAGTATGTTTTACTCTGGTCTGATGTGGGGGCAGACAGGATGACTGAGTAGAGCTTCTTGACTTCACACACATTCTCATCAATCTTATCAATACTGTTCCTGATATCCTCGATCTGAAAGAGTGAAAAAATACAATTACACACACACACACACACACACACACACACAGTCAGTTGCAAAAACAAACTCACCTGAGAGAAGAACTCATCCATAAAAGCTGCATTGTCAATAGCAATTTCCACTTCCTCATCGTCATTGTCGCATGTCTATGAGGAAAAGCAGAAGGCAGCATGAGTAGTGTACGTACTGTATTCAAACAACAAAGTGGATCAACCGCATATGCACACTGACGTCATAACTGTAAATAGAGAACGTACAGCAGCCTAAGTACAGAGACCACAAGGCTTGGTGATATTGACACTGAGAAGGGAACAGAACCAGCTCTTAGCTGACCTCTCCTGCATGAATAGACATCAGATAAAGGAGTAAACAGACGTAACACCACCATGCCTCAGCTGGCCTGTGGGGGGGGGGAATAATAGTGAAGACATCAAAACTATGAAATAAAACATATGGAATCATGTAGTAACCAAAAAAGTGTTAAACAAATCAAAATATATTATATATTTGAGATTCTTCAACTAGCCACCCTTTGCCTTGATGACAGCGTTGCACACACTGTCAACCAGCTCACCTGGAATGTTTTTCCAACAGTCTTGAAGGAGTTCCAACATATGCTGAGCACTTGTTGGCTGCTTTTCCTTCACTCTGCGGTCCGACTCATCCCAAACCATCTCAATTTGGTTGAGGTCGGGGGATTGCGGAGGCTAGGTCATCTGATGCAGCACTCCATCACTCTCCTTCTTGGTCAAATAGCCCTTACACATCCTGGAGGTGTGTTGGGTCATTGTCCTGTTGAAAAACCATTGATAGTCCCGCTAAGCCCAAACCAGATGGGATGGCGTATCGCTGTAGAATGCTGTGGTAGCCATGCTGGTTAAGTGTGCCTTGAATTCTAAATAAATCACAGACAGCATCACCAGCAAAGCACCCCCAAACCATAACACCTCCTCCTCCATGCTTTACGGTGGGAAATACACATGCAGAGATCATCTGTTCACCCACACCGCGTCTCACAAAGACACGGTGGTTGGAACCAAAAATCTAAAATTTGGAATCCAGACCAAAGGATAAATTTACACCGGTCTAATGTCCATTGCTCGTGTTTCTTGGCCCAAGCAAGTCTCTTCTTCTTATTGGTATCCTTTAGTAGTGGTTTCTTTGCAGCAATTCGACCATGAGGGCCTGATTCACACAGTCCCCTCTGAACAGGTGGGGAACAGGCGTGTCTGTTACCTGAACTCTGAAGCATTTATTTGGGCTGCAATTTCTGAGGCTGGTAACTCCCCCCATCTTGTCACAATACAACTGATTGGCTGAAACGCATTAAGAAGGAAAGAAATTAACTTTTAAGACGGCACACCTGTTAATTGAAATGCATTCCAGGTGACTACCTCATGAAGCTGGTTGAGAGAATGCCAAGAGTGTGCAAAGCTGTCATCAAGGCAAAGGGTGGCTATTTGAAGAATCTCAAACATAAAATACATTTTGATTTGTTCAACACTTTTTTGGTTACTACATGATTCCATATGTGTTATGTCATAGTTTTGATGTCTTCCCTTTTAATCTACAATGTAAAAAATAGTCAAAATAAAGAAAAACCCTTGAATGAGTAGGTGTTCTAAAACTTTTGAACAGTAATATATATATATATATATATAGTTGAAGTCGGAAGTTTACATACACCTTAGCCAAATAGATTTAAACTCAGTTTTTCACAATTCCTGACATTTAATCCTATTCCCTATCTTAGTTCAGTTAGGATCACCACTTTATTTTAAGAATGTGAAATGTCAGAATAATAGAGAATGATTTATTTCAGCTTTTATTTATTTCATTTCAACACATTCCCAGTGGGTCAGAAGTTTACATACACTCAATTAGTATTTGGTAGGACTGCCTTTAAATTGTTTAACTTGGTTCAAACGTTTCGGGTAGCCTTCCACAAGCTTCCCACAATAAGTTGGGTGAATTACTGTGGATATAGATACTTTTGTACCCGTTTCCTCCAGCATCTTCACAAGGCCTTTGCCATTGTTCTGGGATTGATTTGCACTTTTCGCAACAAAGTACGTTCATCTCTAGGAGACAGAACGCATCTCCTTGCTGAGCGATATGACGGCTGCGTGGTCCCATGGTGTTTATACTTGCGTACTATTGTTTGTACAGATGAACGTGGTACCTTCAGGCATTTGGAAATTGCTCCCAAGGATGAACCAGACTTGTGGAGGTCTACCATTGTCTTTCTGAGGTCTTGGCTGATTTCTTTTGATTTTCCCCATGATGTCAAGCAAAGAGGCACCGAGTTTGAAGGTAGGCCTTGAAATACATCCACAGGTACACCTCCAATTGACTCAAATGATGTCAATTAGCCTATCAGAAGCTTCTAAAGCCATGCCATCATTTTCTGGAATTTTACAAGCTGTTTAAAGGCAGAGTTACCTTAGTGTATGTAAACGTCTGACCCACTGGAATTTTGATACAGTGAATTATAAGTGCAATAATCTGTCTGTAAACAACTGTTGGAAAAATTACTTGTGTCATGCACAAAGTAGATGTCCTAACCGACTTGCCAAAACTATAGTTTGTTAACAAGAAATTTGTGGAGTGGTTGAAAAACGAGTTTTAATGACTCCAACCTAAGTGTATGTAAACTTACGACTTCAACTGTATACACACACACACACACACACACACACACACACACACTACTGTTCAAAAGTTTGGGGTCACTTAGAAATGTCCTTGTTTTCCATGAAGACATTTAAGCATGTGAACCCCCGCAAGGCTGCCAGCACAGACGACATCCCTAGCCGCGTCCTCAGAGCATGTGCAGACCAGCTGCCTGGTGTGTTTACGGACATATTCAATGTCTCCCTTTTCCAGTCTGCTGTTCCCACATGCTTCAAGATGGCCACCATTGTTCCTGTACCCAAGAAAGCAAAGGTAACTGAACTAAATGACGCCCCGTAGTACTCACCTCTGTCATCATGAAGTGCTTTGAGAGACTAGTCAATGATCATATCACCTCTACGTTACCTGTCACCCTAGACCCACTTCAATTTGCTTACCGCCCCAATAGATCCACAGACGATGCAATCGCCATCACACTGCACACTGCCCTATCCCATCTGGACAAGAGGAACACCTATGTAAGAATGCTGTTCATTGACTATAGCTCAGCATTCAACACTATAGTACCCCTCCAAACTCATCATTAAGCTCGAGGCCCTGGGTCTGAACCCCGCCCTGTGCAACTGGGTCTTGGACTTCCTGACGGGCCACCCCCAGGTGGTGAAGGTAGGAAACATCTCCACTTCACTGATCCTCAACACTGGGGCCCCACAAGGGTGCGTGCTCAGCCCCCTCCTCTACTCCCTGTTCACCCATGACTGCGTGGCCAAGCACGCCTCCAACTCAATCATCAGGTCTGCAGACAACAGTAGAAGGCTTGATTACCAACGATGACGAGACCGCCTACAGGGAGGAGGTGAGGGCTCTGGGAGTGTGGTGCCAGGAAAATAACCTCTCACTCAACGTCAACAAAACAAAGGAGATGATCGTGTACTTCAGGAAACAGCAGAGGGTGCACCCCACTATCCACATCGACGGGACCGCAGTGGAGAAGGTGGAAAGCTTCAAGTTCCTTGGTGTACACATCACTGACAAACTGAAATGGTCCACCCACCCAGACAGTGTGGTGAAGAAGGCACAACAGAGCCTCTTCAACCTCAGGAGGCTGAAGAAATTTAGCTTGGCACCTAAATCCCTCAAACTTTTACAGGTGCACAATTGAGAGCATCCTGTTGGGCTGTATCACCGCCTGGTACGGCAACTGCACCGCCTGTAACCGCAGGGCTCTCCAGAGGGTGGTCCGGTCTGCCGAACGCATTAACGGGGGCAAACTACCCGCCCTCCAAGACACCTACAGCACCCGATGACACAGGAAGGCCAAAAAGATCATCAAAGACATCAACCACCCGAGCCACTGCCTGTTCACCCCGCTATCATCCAGAAGGCGAGGTCAGTCTAGGTGCATCAAAGCTGGGACCGAGAGAATGAAAAACAGCTTCTATCTCAAGGCCATCAGACTGTTAAATAGCCATCACTAGCACATTAGAGACTGCTGCTGCCTATTGAAATCACTGGCAACTTTAAGAAATGGAACACTAGTCACTTTAATAATGTTTACATATCTTGCACTACTCATCTCATATGTATATACTGCATTCTATTCTATAATATTCTACTGTATCTTAGTCCATGCCGCTCTGTCATTGCTTGTCCATATATGTATATATTCTTAAATTCCATTCCTTACTAGATTTGTGTGTGTATTGGGTATATGTTGTGAAATTGTTAGATATTACTGCACTGTCGGAGCTAGAAGCACAAGCATTTCGCTACAACCGCAATAACATCTGCTAAACACGTGTATGTGACAAATAAAATGTGATTTGATTTGAACATACATGAAATGAGTTTGAATATGAAATATAGCAAAATACATAGGAAATATAGTCATTGACAAGGTTAGAAATAATGATTTTTAATATAAATAATAATTGTGTACTTCAAACTTTGCTTTCGTCAAAGAATCCTCCATTTGCAGCAATTACAGCCTTGCAGACCTTTGGCATTCTAGTTGTCAATTTGTTGAGGTAATCTGAAGAGATTTCATCCCATGCTTCCTGAAGCACCCCCCACAAGTTGGATTGGCTTGATGGGCACATCTTACGTACCATACGGTCAAGCTGCTCTCACAACAGCTCAATAGGGTTGAGATCCGGTGACTGTGCTGGCCACTCCATTATAGACAGAATACCAGCTGACTGCTTCTTCCATAAATAGTTATTGCATAGTTTGGAGCTGTGCTTTGGGTCATTGTCCTGTTGTAGGAGGAAATTGGCTCCAATCAAGCACCGTCCACAGGGTACGGCATGGCGTTGCAAAATTGAGTGATAGCCTTCCTTCTTCAAGATCCCTTTTACCCTGTACAAATCTCCCACTTTACCACCACCAAGCACCCCCAGACCATCACATTGCCTCCACCATGCTTGACAGATGGCATCAAGCACGCCTCCAGCATCTTTTCATTTGGTCTGCGTATCACAAATGTTCTTCTTTGTGATCCGAACACCTCAACCTTCGATTTGTCTGTCCAGAACACTTTTTTCCAATCTTCCTCTGTCCAGTGTCTGTGTTCTCTGGCCCATCTTAATCTTTTCTTTTTATTGGCCAGTCTGAGATATGGCTTTTTCTTTGCAACTGTGCCTAGAAGGTCAGCATCCCGGAGTCTCCTCTTCACTGTTGACGTTGAGACTGGTGTTTTGCGGGTACTATTTGATGAAGCTGCCAGTTGAGGACCTGTGAGGCGTCTGTTTCTCAAACTAGACACTAATGTATTTGTCCTCTTACTCAGTTGTGCACCGGGGCCTCCCACTCCTTTCTATTCTGGTTAGAGCCAGTTTGTGCTGTTCTGTGAAGGGAGTAGTACACAGCGTTGTACAAGATCTTCAGTTTCTTGGCAATTTCTCGCATGGAATAGCCTTAATTTCTCAGAACAAGAATAGACTGACGAGTTTCAAAAGAAAGTTATTTGTTTCTGACCATTTTGAGTCTGTAATCGAACCCACAATTGCTGATGTTCCAGATACTCAACTAGTCTCAAGAAGGCCAGTTTTATTGCTTCTTTAATCAGCACAACAGTTATCAGCTGTGCTAACATAATTGCAAAAGGGTTTTCTAATGATCAATTAGCCTTTTAAAATGATAAACTTGGATTAGCAAACATGACGTGCCATTGGAACACAGGACTGATGGTTGCTAATAATGGGCCTCTGTACGCCTATGTAGATATTCCATTAAAAATCAGCCGTTTCCAGCTACAATAGCCATTTACAACATTAACAATTGCTTTTCTTTCGAAAACAAGGACATTTCTATGTGACCCCAAACTTTTGAACGGTAGTGTATATACACACACATTCACCGGACAGTTTATTAGGTACACCACCCATTCATGAAAATGGTTCTCTCCTACAGCCAGTGAGTCACATGGCCGTGGCTTGCTATATAAAGCAGGCAGACAGGCATTGAGCCATTCAGTTACTGTTCGATTGAACGTTATTATGTGGTCCTCTGTAGCTCAGCTGATAGAGCACGGCGCTTGTAACGCCAGGGTAGTGGGTTCGATCCCCGGGACCACCCATACACAAAAATGTATGCACACATGACTGTAAGTCGCTTTGGATAAAAGCGTCTGCTAAATGGCATATTATTATTATTATTATGGGCAAAACGAGTACAACAATGGTGTGCAGAACGGCATCTCGGAATACACAACTCATCGATCCTTGTCACGGATGGACGATTGCAGCAGACAACTACACTGGGTTCCACTCCTATCAGTTGAAAAAAACAAGAAGCGTCTCCAGTGGGCACGCCAATCAAATTTGCCATAACCTACTGTTCACTAGCTACAGTAGAAGTCGGAAGTTTACATACACTTAGTTTGGAGTCATTAAAACTTGTTTTTCAACCACTCCACAAATTTCTTTTTAACAAACTATAGTTTTGGCAAGTCGGTTAGGACATCTACTTTGTGCATGACACAAGTAATTTTTCCAACAGTTGTTTACAGACAGATAATTTCACTTATAATTCACTGTATCACAAGTCCAGTGGGTCAAAAGTTTACATACACTAAGTTGACTGTGCCTTTAAACAGCTTGTAAAATTCCAGAAAATGATGTCATGGCTTTAGAAGCTTCTGATAGGCTAATTGACATCATTTGAGTCAATTGGAGGTGTACATGGTGGATGTATTTCAAGGCCTACCTTCAAACTCAGTGCCTCTTTGCTTGACATCATGGGAAAATCAAAAGAAATCAGCCAACACCTCAGAAATAAATTGTAGACCTCCACAAGTCTGGTTCATCCTTGGGAGCAATTTCCAAACGCCTGAAGGTACCTCGTTCATCTGTACAAACAATAGTACGCAAGTATAAACACCATGGGACCACGCAGCCGTCATATCGCTCAGGAAGGAGATGCGTTCTGTCTCCTAGAGATGAACGTACTTTGGTGTGAAAAGTACAAATCAATCCCAGAACAACAGCAAAGGACCTTGTGAAGATGCTGGAGGAAACAGGTACAAAAGTATCTATATCCACTGTAAAACAAGTCCTATATCGACATAACCTGAAAGGCCGCTCAGCAAGGAAGAAGCCACTGCTCCATAACCGCCATAAAAAATGCCAGACTACGGTTTGCAACTGCACATGGGGACAAAGATCTTACTTTTTGGAGAAATGTCCTCTGGTCTGATGAAACAAAAATAGAACTGTTTGGCCATAATGACCATCGTTATGTTTGGAGGAAAAAGTGGGGTGGCTTGCAAGCCGAAGAACACCATCCCAACCGTGAAGCACTGGGGTGGCAGCATCATGCTTTTGGGGTGCTTTGCTGCAGGAGGGACTGGTGCACTTCACAAAATAGATGGCATCATGAGGAAGGAAAATTATGTGGATATATTGAAGCAACATCTCATGACATCAGTCAGGAAGTTAAAGCTTGGTCGCAAATGGGTCTTCCAAATGGACAATGATCCCAAGCATACTTCCAAAGTTGTGGCAACAAAGTCAAGGTATTGGAGTAGCCATCACAAAGCCCTGACCTGAAAAGGTGTGTGCATGCAAGGAGGCCTACAAACCTGACTCAGTTACTCCAGCTCTGTCAGGAGGAATGGGCCAAAATTCACCCAACTTATTGTGGGAAGCTTGTGGAAGGCTACTCGAAACGTTTGACCCAAGTTAAACAATTTTAAAGGCAATGCTACCAAATACTAATTGAGTGTATGTAAACTTCTGCCCCACTGGGAATGTGATGAAAGAAATAAAAGCTGAAATAAATCACTCTACTATTATTCTGACATTTCACATTCTTAAAATAAAGTGGTGATCCTAACTGACCTAAGACAGGGAATTTTTACTAGGATTAAATGTCAGAAAAACTGAGTTTAAATGTATTTGGCTAAGAGCTATGTAAACTTCCGACTTTAACTGTATATGTCCATGGTATTGCATAGGGACAAGTAAACAAAATGATTTCCTATGTTTCCCTTCCTAGGATGTCGGGGCTTGCCAGACACGCCAGCCCAGGACCTCCACATCCGTCTTCACCTGCGGGATCATCTGAGACCAGCCACCCAGACAGCTGATGAAACTGTGGGTTTGCACAACCAAAGAATTTCTGCAAACTGTCAGAAACCGTCTCAGGGAATATCATCTGCGTGCTCACCAGGGTCTTGACCTGACTGCAGTTCGGCGTCATAACCGACTTCAGTGGGCATATGCTCACCTTCAATGGCCACTGGCACGCTGGAGAAGTGTGCTCTTCACGGATGAATCCTGGGTTTCAACTGTACCAGGCAGATGTAGGACAGCGTGTGTGGCGTCGCGTGGGCGAGCGGTTTGCTGATATCAACGTTGTGAAGCGGGTGCCCCATGGTGGCGGTGGGGTTATTGTATGGGCAGGCATTAGCTACGGACAACGAACACAATTGCATTTTATCGTTGGCAATTTCAATGCAAAGAGGTACCGTGGCGAGATCCTGAGGCCCATTGTCGTGCCATTCATCCACCGCCATCACCTCATGTTTCAGCATGATCATGCACGGCCCCATGTTGCAAGGATCTGTACACAATTCCTGGAAGCCTAAAATGTCCCAGTTCTTCCATGGTGTGCATACTCACCAGACATGTCACCCATTGAGCATGTTTGGGATGCTCTGGATTGACTTGTACGACAGCGTGTTCCAGTTCCAGCCAATATCCAGAAACTTCGCACAGCCATTGAAGAGGAGTGGGACAACATTCCACAGGCCACAATCATCAGCCTGATCAACTCAATGCGAAGGAGATGTGTCACGCTGCATGAGGCAAATGGTGGTCACACCAGATACTGACTGGTTTTCTGATCCACACCCCTACTTTTTATTTTAAGGTACCTGTGACCAACTGATGCATATCTGTATTCCCAATCATGTGAAATCCATAGATTAGGGCCTAATGAATTTATTTCAATTGACTGATTTCCTTATATGAACTGTAACTCAGTAACATCTTTGAAATTGTTGCATGTTGCGTTTATATTTTTGTTCAGTGTATATTTCTATGATTGAAATGACACCCACCCTGTATTCAAGAGCATGTGTCTCAACCGATGGCGGGTACAACGCAAAAACCTCAGATTATTTAAAGTAGGGTCTAAGCTACAACATACACTCATTTACATTTACATTTTAGTCATTTAGCAGACGCTCTTATCCAGAGCGACTTACAGTTAGTGAATACATATATTTTTTTTTCATACTGGTCCCCCGTGGGAATTGAACCCACAACCCTGGCGTTGCAAACGCCATGCTCTATCAACTGAGCTACATCCCTGCCGGCCATTCCCTCCCCTACCCTGGACAACGCTAGGCCAATTGTGCGCTGCCCATGAGTCTCCCGGTCGCGGCCGGCTGCGACAGAGCCTGGATTCGAACCAGGATCTCTAGTGGCACAGCTAGCACTGCGATGCAGTGCCTTAGACCACTGCGCCACTCAGGAGAGTGGCGCGGTGGCCAGTTCATTAGGTACACCCATCTAGTACCGGGTCGGACCCCCCTTTGCCTCCAGAACAGCCTGAATTCTTCAGTGCATGGATTCTACAAGGTGTGGCGTTCAAACATTGCTCAACTGGTATTATGGGAGCTAACGTGTGCCAGGAAAACATTCCCCCACACCATTACACCACCGCCACCAGCCTGTACCGTTAACACGAGGCAGGATGGGGCCCATGGACTCATGCTGCTTACACCAAATCCTGACTCTGCCATCAACATGATGCAACAGGAACCGGGATTTATCAGACCAGGCAGCGTTTTTCCACTCCTCAATTGTCCAGTGTTGTTATCGTGTGCCCACTGGAGCTGCTCCTTCTTGTCTTTAGCTGATAGAAGTGGAACCCGGTGTGGTCGTCTTCTGCAATAGCCCATCCGTGACAAGGGCAAACGAATTGTGCATTCCGAGATGCCGTTCTATACCACTGTTGTACTGCGCCCGTATTTGCCCATTTGTGGCCCACCTGTTAGCTTGCACGATTCTTGCCATTCTCCTTCGACCTCTTTAAATCAACTATCTGTTTTCGCCCACAGGACTGCGGCTGACTGGATGTTTTTCACACCATTCACAGTAAATCCTAGACACAGTCGTGTGTGAAAAGGCCAGGAGGCCGGACGTTTCTGAGATACTGGAACCGGCACGCTTGGCACCGACGATCATACCACACTCAGTCGCTTAGGTCACTATTTTTGCACAGTAACTGAATGCCTTGATGCCTGCTTTATATAGCAAGCCACGGCCACGTGACTCACTGTCTGTAGGAGTGAATCATTTTCGTTAACGTGGTGATGTACCTAAAACTGGCCACTGATTGTATATGCAAATATGATTTTTATTTTGTTTACGCGTTTTTTTAAATCATTGATGTTAAAGATATAAAAAGTCTATTTTTATCTATGTAAATAGTCCGGGTGGCCATTTGATTAATTGTTCAGCAGTCTTATGGCTTGGGGGACCAGACTGAAGAGACCAGACTGAATATAATATGGTGTCCAGAGACATTATCTCCTGTTTCCTGTTGTAGTCTGTTCTCCTGTCTACATCACCAGTCAGGTGACCTGATTATGTGCCGAGCATGAGCACGAACAACAATACAGCCCCATCAAGTTAAACATTTTAAGGAAACCAGCAGAGAGAGATAACCCTTCAGAGGTCTACTACTGCCTCCTCACAGTCTTGTTTTATGTAAAAAACACATCCCTAAACAAACTGCCACACCATTTTCACTTTACTTCCCAGTAGAAACCCATTGTACCTGCGAAATTACCAATGCCTCGGTGCAGCAATTGACAAACATGGCAAATATTTGGCCAACAGTAAGGGGTGGCCATGGTAACAGATCCTGACGCAGCTGGAGTGGATCAGCAGCAGTGCCTCACCCAAAGGGGAAGCTTACATTGTTCAACAGGACAGAGCATCCTGGGTTTTTTTGTGTTAGAAACTAGGCTATTGAGAGAGAGATAAAGTCTTAAAATACCCAATACAGGTTCTAGGCTAGTGGGTCTACTCCAAGAGAGGAGTAGACTTTCAAAAGACCAAGAGTGGAAAGGGATCGGAGATGTAGAACAGTCACCAATCTCACCATTATAGGCCTTGCATTACGCTACTGATTGTTAATTAGTATAGGTGTCAGTTACACCTGTAGTTTAATTACAGGAGACAGATGTTTAAACAGATGTGGGAATTAAATAGCCTACAACTGTGTCCGCCTAGGTGCTTTTAGCAACGCTGGTGTGTTTAGACAAAATATCTAAAGGATCATATTATTTAACCGACTTTCCAAATGTGGGTCTGTTGTAGACCAACTTCCTATCTTCTTACCTCATGTCAAAATAAAAGTCCCCCGTAAGTTATTCATTTTTGTGTCCACATATGGCGCATGTGCAGGACTTTTATTTTGGAATGAGGTAAGCAGAGAGAAAATGGTTATATGGCAGACCTACGTTTGGAAAGTCTGTTTAATAATACAATCCTTTAGATATTTTGTCTCAAATTCCCTGTCCCAGTTAGCTAACTAGCACACGGTGTCACCGCCGCCTTCAGTGTACTGGAGAAAACCGCTAGCTACTCCGGTACACAGCAGGCGGGAGGCGACACCATGTGCTAGCGACACTGTGTGCTAGCTAGCTTGCTAGTTAGCTAGCACACGTGTCGCCCACACCTCCCGCCTGATGTGTACCGAAGTCCTCCTTAGGACTAGCTGGCTAAGCTAGCACACAGTGTCCTTCGCTCCCTCCTGCCCTCACCATCGTTAACAGAACTGTGGGAAAACAGTGGCCAATAGGCAGAGGCAAAGGACACTACCGGTGTGTACCATCTATAGCTAGCTACCATTGTCAACCCCGCCTCTTCTTCTGTGGGTTTTATGGGCAGTTGGCATCCAACATTATGGTGCATTACCGCCTTCTACTGTACTGTAGCGTCCCTGCCTATGTACTGGAGTCATTTACCAATAGAAGTATAAAGAGGGGTTCCTGCAGATGCATGAATGACCTCATGCAGGAACGCCCCGAATTGCGGGATGCAGTTGCACCTTTCTCCCACATTTTCTAATCCATGGAGCGCGCAAGGACACAATGCATATGACACCTGTGGTCCCGTTACCTTGTCCTCAAACCCAACCCCCACGGTCTTACTGCCACAGAGAACACAAAAATGTCCCCAACAGACACACCGCAAAAACATATCCAAGTCATACAACCTTAACATAAACTATTATCTTTGTATCGTCTCTCATGTAGGCCATCTCTTCAATTGTAAATGAAGGCGACTAAATTTGTAATCAAATAGCGTCAGTCAACTACAGGCCTTCGGATAGGATGGTGAATAGCTTGTACACTACCGAATAAGACCAATAATGAGGTAAAACATAGTTGTGTTGAATTATAGACACTCGTTTTTTGCATAGACCATTTGTAATTTGCATGCTGCACATGAGGTAATAATATCTGTCTAGCTCTGTGAAAAGTGCCTCTGTGTGATATATCCCAGACCCACTTACAGCTTTGAGTTGTTCCAATCGGTCCTTCATCTTGCCGACTGTTAATAAAACAAGTTTAAAAAAAAAAATATATATATATATAGTAATCTATATTTAAAATACGATCCCCAATCTGTGAAATTCCTCAACCAGCTGGACAGCTGGCTATAGAACGGAATCCCACCGCCAGTGGGTTGAAAATAAACTTTCTCAAAGTCTTGGCAAGGCTCTTCTTGAAAGTGAGTTTTGCTGCTAAAATAGCCTACTGCCTTTTCCACCAATTGTCCATACAATATGGCTGCTAAAGGAGAAAACCGTGGGTTATTTTGCTAAATCTCTTTGCTCTGCGGATTAAAACAACAATTGTGTACAGCCCGCATAATCTCTTTCGCTCGCTCGACCCCAGTAATCGTTCTAAAACGCACTTTCTCGCTCACGCATGCGTAAACGGCTTGTAGTATACGGGGCCACGCCCTGGCCAGTGTGATACCTGAGTATGTTGGCCGACCTGCCATTCTATTTAAAGGGGACGCACAGTCGCTGTGGCATTCATGATTTCATGTTGACAGGGACAATATGATGTGGCCTACATTATTCTCGAAGAAAAGCCGACACGCATGGTCCCCCGTGGGAATCGAACCCACAACCCTGGCGTTGCAAGCGCCATGCTCTACCAACTGAGCTACACAGGACTAGTAGTAGAGGATAGGTAGAGTTGGAGGAGAGGTAGAGTTAGAGTACATTTAAGTCATTTAGCAGATGCTCTTATCCAGAGCGACTTACAGTTAGTGAGTGCATTTATTTATTTTTCTTCATACTAGTCCCCCGTGGGAAACGAACCCACAACCCTGGCGTTGCAATGCGACGCAGGGTGCCTCTACCAACGGGATGAACTAGTCACAGGGGAGCTACACGGAACTAGTAGTAGAGGATAGGTAGAGTTGGAGGAGAGGTAGAGTTAGAGTATAGGAGAGGTGAGGATCGTTAGAGAAGTAGAGTTAGAGGAGAGTAAGTGGGAGAGGAAGGTGATTCGGAGGCGTGTGGTTAGGGCCGGTAAGGTAAGGTAGGAAGTTTTGAGGAGGATAGGTAGAGTTGAGGGAGAGAGGTAGGTTAGAGGAGGTGAGTTAGAGGAGAGGAGGGTCAGGGGAGGTAGGTTAGAGGAGAGGGTAGAGTTGAGGGAGGTAGAGTTAGCGGAGAGGTGAGTGAGGGAGAGGTCGCGTTCGCGGGGGTGTAGCTGGTCGGGGCGGTAGGTGCGGGTAGGGTGAGTTGAGGGAGAGTGGTCGGCGTAGAGGTAGAGGGTGGTTCAGAGGAGAGGTAGTAGAGTTAGAGGAGAGAGGTAGGTAGAGTAGAGGAGAGGAGAGGTTAGAGGTTAGAGGGAGAGGAGAGTGAGAGTTAGAGGAGAGGTAGAGTTAGAGAAGGAGAGGTGAGTAGAGGAAGAGGAGAGGGTAGAGTTAGAGGTAGAGGAGAGGTAGAGTTAGAGGAGAGGAGAGGTAGAGTTAGAGGAGAGGAGAGGTAGAGTAGAGGAGAGGAGAGGTAGAGGGAGGTTAGAGAGAGGAGGAGAGGTAGAGTTAGAGGAGAGGTAGAGTTAGAGGAGAGGAGAGGTAGAGTTAGAGGAGAGGTAGAGTTAGAGGAGGAGGTAGAGTTAGAGTAGAGGAGAGGTAGAGTTAGAGGAGGGTAGATGGTTAGAGGAGAGGAGAGGTAGAGTTAGAGGAGAGGTAGAGTTGGAGTAGAGAAGAGGTGAGTAGAGGAGAGGTTAGAGTTAGAGGAGAGGTAGAGTTAGGGAGAGAGAGGGTAGAGTGAGGAGAGAGGTAGAGTTAGAGGAGAGAGAGTTAGAGTGGAGATAAGTAGAGAAGAGGTTAGAGTGAGAGGAGAGGTAGAGTTAGAGGTAGAGGTTAGAGGGAGGTAGAGTTAGAGGTGAGGTAGAGTTAGAGTAGAGGAGAGGTAGAGTTAGGAGGGGTAGAGTTAGAGGAGAGGAGAGTGAGATTCGAGTAGAGGAGGAAGGTAGAGTTAGAGGAGAGGATAGGATAGGTAGAGTTAGAGGAGAGGTAGAGTTGGAGTAGGAGAGGAGGTAGGAGAGGTTTAGAGTTAGAGGAGAGGTAGAGTTGGAGTAGAGAGAGAGGTAGAGTGAGAGGAGAGGTAGAGTTAGAGGAGAGGTAGAGTTGGAGTAGAGAAGAGGTAGAGTTAGAGGAGAGGTAGAGTTAGAGGAGAGGTAGAGTTGGAGTAGAGAAGAGGTAGAGTGAGAGGAGAGGTAGAGTTAGAGTAGAGGAGAGGAGAGGTAGAGTTAGAGGTGAGGTAGAGTTAGAGGCGGAGAGGTAGAGTTGGGAGTTTAGAGGATATGGTATCGTTAGAGGAGAGGATAGGATAGGTAGAGTTAGAGTAGAGGTAGAGTTGGAGTAGTTGGAGCTTTTATTATAAAGGTGGATTTTTATGGTGAATATTATCTTCCCCAAACTTGAAACTCAAGTGCTGCATATATATGCCAGTTAGGATCTACACCCCTTGTAAAGGGGATTAATGTGCTTAATTTTAAGAAGTTATTTGGCCACTTTAGTGATACAAACCTTATCAAAACATATAGGCCTATGGGCTAGGCTACATGAGGTGTGCAACTATGATTCGAAAAAGTACCAAAAAAAGGGCATCGTTTCTTATACTGGGCATCATTCACAAGTGATGAAATATAATTCAAAAGTGATAAGCTAATATTGCCACCCATCAGACTATTCTTGATTTAATCTGGTCTTTACATATACTAAATAATATACACTACCAGTCAAAAGTTTGGACACACCTACTCATTCAAGGGCTTTTCTTTATTTTTACTATTTTTTACATTGTAGAATATTAGTGAAGACATCAAAACTATGAAACAACACATATATAATCATATAGTAACCAAAAAAGTGTTAAACCAATAAAAATATATTTTATATTTGAGATTCTTCAAATAGCCCCCCTTTGCCTTGATGACAGCTTTGCACACTCTTGGCATTCTCTCAACCAGCTTCACCTGGAATGCTTTTCCAACAGTCTTGACGGAGTTCCCACATATATTGAGCACTTGTTGGCTGCTTTTCCTTCACTCTGCGGTCCAACTCATCCCAAACCATCTCAATTGGGTTGAGGTCAGGGGATTGTGGAGAACAGGTCATCTGATGCAGCACTCCATCACTCTCCTTCTTGGTCAAATAGCCCTTACACAGCCTGGAGGTGTGTTGGGTCATTGTCCTGTTGAAAAACAAATGATAGTCCCATTAAACCCAAACCAGATGGGATGGTGTATCACTGCAGAATGCTGTGGTAGCCATGCTGGGTAAGTGTGCCTTGAATTCTAAATAAATCACAGACAGTGTCACCAGCAAAGCACCCCCACACCATAACACATGCAGAGATCATCCGTTCACGCACACCGCGTCTCACAAAGACACAGTGGTTGGAACCAAAAATCTCCAATTTGGACTCCAGACCAAAGGACTAATATCCACCGGTCTGATGTCCATTGCGTTTCTTGGCCCAAGCAAGTCTCTTCTTCTTATTGGTGTCCTTTAGTAGTGGTTTATTTGCAGCAATTCGACCATGAAGGCCTGATTCACACAGTCTCCTTTGAGCAGTTGATGTTGAGATGTGTCTGTTACTTGAACTCTGTGAAGCATTTATTTGGGCTGCAATTTCTGAGGCTGGTAACTCTAATGAACTTATCCTCTGCAGCAGAGGTAACTCTGGGTCTTCCATTCCTGTGGCGGTCCTCATGAGAGCCAGTTTCATCGTAGCGCTTCATGGTTTATGCGACTGCACTTGAAGAAACTTGAGCTTCATGTCTTTAAAAAAGGATGGACTGTCGTATCTCTTTGCTTATTTGAGCTGTTCTTGCCATAATACGGACTTGGTGTTTTAAAAATAGGGCTAGCTTCTGTATACCCCCCTACCTTGTCACAACACAACTGATTGGCTCAAACGCATTAAGAAGGAAATCAATTCCACAAATTAACTTTTAAGTAGACACCTGTTAATTGAAATGCATTCCAGGTGACTACCTCATGAAGCTGGTTGAGTATATATATTTATATACAGTGGGGGAAAAAAGTATTTAGTCAGCCACCAATTGTGCAAGTTCTCCCACTTAAAAAGATGAGAGAGGCCTGTAATTTTCATCATAGGTACACGTCAACTATGACAGACAAATTGAGATTTTTTTTCTCCAGAAAATCACATTGTAGGATATTTAATGAATTTATTTGCAAATTATGGTGGAAAATAAGTATTTGGTCACCTACAAACAAGCAAGATTTCTGGCTCTCACAGACCTGTAACTTCTTCTTTAAGAGGCTCCTCTGTCCTCCACTCGTTACCTGTATTAATGGCACCTGTTTGAACTTGTTATCAGTATAAAAGACACCTGTCCACAACCTCAAACAGTCACACTCCAAACTCCACTATGGCCAAGACCAAAGAGCTGTCAAAGGACACCAGAAACAAAATTGTAGACCTGCACCAGGCTGGGAAGACTGAATCTGCAATAGGTAAGCAGCTTGGTTTGAAGAAATCAACTGTGGGAGCAATTATTAGGAAATGGAAGACATGCAAGACCACTGATAATCTCCCTCGATCTGGGGCTCCACGCAAGATCTCACCCCGTGGGGTCAAAATGATCACAAGAACGGTGAGCAAAAATCCCAGAACCACATGCGGGGACCTAGTGAATGACCTGCAGAGAGCTGGGACCAAAGTCACAAAGCCTACCATCAGTAACACACTACGCCGCCAGGGACTCAAATCCTGCAGTGCCAGACGTGTCCCCCTGCTTAAGCCAGTACATGTCCAGGCCCATCTGAAGTTTTCTAGAGTGCATTTGGATGATCCAGAAGAGGATTGGGAGAATGTCATATGGTCAGATGAAACCAAAATAAAACTTTTTGGTAAAAACTCAACTCGTCGTGTTTGGAGGACAAAGAATGCTGAGTTGCATCCAAAGAACACCATACATACTGTGAAGCATGGGGGTGGAAACATCATGCTTTGGGGCTGTTTTTCTGCAAAGGGACCAGGACGAC